GAATGTCCACAGTAGAAACTCTGGTTGTTTGTCTAGTAGTGATAGCTACCTGTGCTTTAATACCCACATCATATGGAAGATTTAAAAAAAAGTAATAAATTTTGTGTTGCGATTGCCTTATTTTTTTCATATGTCATGTAATGTGTATAGCAACAGAAACGAAGATTTTTTTAATACTCAAGTTTTCATCAACTATGCTTTTTAACAAAATAAGTGTAATTTAATTGAAGGAAGAACAACAGTAATAACAATCTATTGCTCTCCTGATTGTCCTATAAAAGTACTCAATGTGCTAGTACTTAATTTGAAAAAATCTTTTACTTGCAAATGACCCATTACCAGTAAGGTGAACTATTCAGCATCAGTTCAGTGATGAAATGGAAGTTCAGAGTTTACTTCATATATGTCTCAAATATGAATCAAAAAGACACATTGAAACATTTATTAAGTTTCCTTCTGCTATCGTAAAGCCTCTGAGGAAGTTTTGGGTATTACCTGCTGTTACAAGTTTGTAGTACCCAGAACTGCATGAGAACCAAACCGAAATATATGTGTATTGCTGAGTTTTAAGTCTTTTGCTTGGAAGACTTGTATCCAGTAAGACAGTCTTAACTCCTTGTATTTATTGTTGGTTGACTTTGTTACAAGATTTCTCTGTTTGTGTAGAATTTAGAATATATTTTCTTGTTCTAAAACAGAAATATCATTCAGGGAGATCCTTATAGACAATGAGTATCTGCTTGTGTTGGAATTTCAGAATTGAGATAGTCATTTGTTTGCAGTCTGTTAATTGTAATTATAAAAGTGAAAGCTGGTAATAGAACTTAAGATATAAACCAAAAGTTTTTCTTAGGAATCAGAACCACCAATATCGGGCGTGGAATTTCCAGTGCCAAGTGTCCAATAACATATACCAAATAGTCTCACAGACGTATCTTCCTTTCTGCCTTATCAGATTGGGCCGTTGCATTTTAAAACAGTGTTGAACATGCCAGTAACTTGATTCCAAAACTTGGAATTTGACTGGAACCAAGAGAGCATGACAGACTTGAGTTTCTTGAGAGATTCCCTTGGTTAATCATGTCTCTTGACTTGAGAAGACTTCTGCTCAATATTTTTTATTTTTCTGTATTGTTTAAATGCAAGAAAAAGTGACAAATTTGAGTAACAATCTGCAAATCTGTGTTGTTTTTTTTAAACTAGTAAAAATGGTCTCACGGGTCAGCATAAACAGTTTTACAGTCGTCTTTCCAAAGTTGTTGTCATGGTTACTGTACAAGCAGTTCCTCGTGTAAATCTGGACATCGATCAGGTGCTGCCGGAAGACCAGGAAGCGAGGACGAGCGAATGCACTCAGTGGCAGCCCCGGCTGATGAGCTGTGAGCGGCCCTGCTCTCCGGCGTGCAAAACAATCTCCCTTCTCTCAACTGAGAGATGCTTGCTTATTCATAGCGGGGAAAAAGATATGTTAAAAAGGGAGGGCAATCAGTGTTGTTGCCTTCATTCCAGACTGTATGTCTGTGATGAACCAAATTTCTGATGCTGACATGCTGGGTAACCTCTGAACCAGCGCTTAGTGCACTAGACGTTATGCCCATAGGGGAATGTAGTTTCAGAGTTAGGTGCTCTAATGGCTAACTACAGTAAGTATTTTAGGCATGATAGGCATATTTATTTAACATGTGGATGAAAATGTTTAGGGTTATTAAACTTTACTGTATTGCAATAGTGTAAATTTAGTTAAACCAGTTGAAATTATAGGGGTTTTCTTGGTTTGGTCCAAAGTCCTATAGTTTTAAATTTCAGTAACAAAAAACCCCACACAGTGATAGGAAAGGCGTGGAGGGTCTTAGACTTCCATATTCAGAGAACACAGTTGGAGTTCACAATAAAATTAATTTAAAAATGTACTATGTAAGAGTTAGTGTTTTGTTCTGAATTTTTGGTACTATATCCTTTGGGTTTGTCTGTTATCTGTTGTTGTTAAGGTTTTTAAAATACTTTGAATACAATCTTAAAATCCACTAGTCTTGACTTGTTTTGCTGATGTGTTGAGAAGATTGTGTTTGTTGCTTGCACACAAGGCCAGGTGTTGTTTCAGTAGTAGCAGTGGCCTAATTACCATTGCTGAACAGCGCATCTTACAAATCTTTTGGTTAGCAAAAGGTGTTACTTCTTTAATATTTTTTATTATAATTAAAAAAAAAGGTGTCATGGAACTATTTTGGTTAACAGGATAGTTTAAATATATACATACATATATAAAGCCATATATTTCAGATAACTTCACTCCTTACCATATTGTTCAATGTAAAATAATATCTTTTCTTGAACATAAAGCTTTTCAAAATGCATTGTCAGTCTTCTGTTTTTGGGTCAACATATAAAGGAGCATTTTGCATCTCTTCTTACATCATCTCCTTCTAGTGATTGTTAAAGCACATTTATATTTGAAGTGTTGAGTGTATTTTATGGGGCCTGCCAGTACTTATCTTAACTGTATAAGTGGTATCTGATTTCTTAAATAAAAACTAACCAAGTATGCTATATAGAAAACCAGATCTTTTAATGAGAAATCTTGATATTTCATATGCCACTACAGAAAATAATTTTTAAAAATGCAAATGTTTTCTTAATTATGATGATTTAAAAAGATAATATCAAACTTTAGCATTAAAATGCAGTTTTGACTCTGGTGCAGCCATTTGTATGTTCAGGGTCTTGACTATATTACTCTTCATATATCAAAATTTATACCTCTCAGCTATTGTTAATGTTTATATTTAAAGTATACCCATCAGAAGTCAAAATGTAAAGAAAATACAAGGCATTTTAATTAATATTATATTATTACATAAAAAACACTGTGAAAAGCCCTTAACTTTCTGATTTTTTTTTCCATTTATTAACACCAGATATTACATACCATTAAAAAAATTAAGAATCACAGTGATTTTTCTTGTAAATTTTCTTGCCGTGACAACATAAACATTGTTGAGAGTGTTACAATGAATTCAGTGTTGTTTAACAGTTTCTTTACTTACTCATAGATGATGAATAAGATAAATACATCTAGATCTATTAATTTGTACTGTAGTATTTGCCTACAATTCATCAACATTGACTTTGAAAGATCTGTTGAGCTTTCTTAGGCCTTTTTTGTCTACACATATTTCTGCACTATTGTGAAAGGATCTGATGTCTGCTGACTACTTTGCTTTTGTGCCTTCCAATTTGAAGCTATTGGGTTTTTTAATTTCTAAATAAATGTTCATGGGGTTACAAAATATTGTAAGTCTGTGTTTTTTCTCAGCTTGTGGTCAACGGGACGCAGTAAAACAACGATGTGTTTTTCTTTTCAAACACTTTCTTGTGTAAGAAACAAAGTAAAATGATGGAAAATAAATGTAGTAAATGAATATTCAGTTCAGCTTAATTTTTTTTTTGTTAATGGAAACCATTCTGCCCATGCTGCAGATTGTATTAACTATTTTATTTTTACACAAGGAGATTGCTCTTGGATTTAGAAAAAATAAAATTCAGAAGCCTTGCAGTTAATTTTATCTGTGCCAAGCTCTATGACTTCCAGTACATGTTAGCTTTCTGTAATACTTTAGCTAATATTTGTCAAATAATGATAGTGTTTTTGGAGATGGCGTAACAGCTTAAATATTTTTCAAATTTGTCTCTAGCAAGTTGAGACACAGGGACAAGCTGAAGATTAAATACTAAAATATACATTAAATTAATTCCCTGTATGTTAATATGAATTTTAAAAATCCTTTTAAACAGTGCATCTCATTTTATAAATGTTAATATTGCTGTATATCAGAGTTTGAGCAGCTATAGTTATCTCTGGAAGCATTTTCCGAGAGTCTGACTTCTTGGCAAACACAAGAGGAAAATTATGAGCATGTTCTAATATTTTCACAAAATCATACATTTATTGGAGAGTATTGTACAAACTAAAATGCTTTTGTAACTGGATCAGAAACTAACAGAGCCTCTTCGTAAGTTGGATTTCCTGACTTCAACTCCTGTAAACAGGCCTGATGTGCTTGCTACAAACAGTTTCTGATACAGGATGTAGCTGTATTTGAAATTCATCTTGAAATGAACATAGTAGTACAATGCTTACTTTTGGTTTTCCATATTGACTTTTGCTAACTTAAGTGAGATCCTAAGGTGAAAGTTTAAAAAATACTGAATGTTACAGAGGCTGTTTTGTTATCTTTAAAGCTAATTTGCTTATCCTTCACACTGGACCTATGCTCAGAAGGCAGTCTCTCATTTTTCTTTCCCAGAGCCCTTCAGTTGAGGTGGTGTGTAACCCCAACGTTTTAATCATTTCCTTGCTTGGTGACTTACAGTGAATTCTGAAGAGCTGCTGGAATAGCCTGTTCTTGTCTTCTGTTGCGGTGCCAGGGCAGAGAGCTTTCTGTCGTGGTGTGCTATTTCTACACAGATTAATCCGCTCACAGTTCTCTCTAGCGGAGCTGCCACGTGTAGTTTATTTCTGAAATTACTTGCTGCCAGCTAAGGATGGGAGTTTTCTGTGCATCTGGTATGGGTCAGCACATGTTGGACTGCAATACTAAAAGCAAAACCAAAAGTTTATTTTGCCAGAAGTAACTGCTGAGGATGTTTAAATAGTTTAACATTCTGAAGTTTACTGTATAAAGTAGAGATTGTGAAAAACATGAACTCTCAGGTTAGTACTTGTTAGATGTTTGGGTGTTCTTTTGGTTGTGGGTTATTGATTTCATTTTTTTGTTTGTTGGGGTTTGTTTTGGTTTGTTGTGTTGTTTTGTGTTTTTTTTTTTTTCCTTCAAGTCTTTATGAGCGGTTGCTGGAAGTTGCAATTGCCCCGAAACTGTCAGAATTGGAAACATTCAACTCACTGTTTCCTTTGTGTTGTGATGCTTTGGATTACAGGATATATATGCATTTTTCTCATATTACAAAACAGAGTAACAGTTGTTTTTCATTGTGTCTTGCAGATTTTGGTGGAGCAACATACAATAATGAGTGGCGACCCTATGGTTTTTGGTTTCCACCTGAGCAGCATTCAGAAGAGGAAATAAGAAGGCAAAGGCTTCGTAGGTTTGAGAGACGGTGAAATTGGCAGGTGTTGATGTAAATTGTAAAGTCCTATTCAGAGTTGCCAAAATATTTGCAGATTTATTTTTAATATACAGATTCACTGTAATACTTTTTCCACTTTTTTACTACTAGTTGCAAAACTGCAGATCATTTTCTGAGTTCAGGCTCATAATTGGAACTTGCATAAAAAGTGTGAGATGGGAATCAAAATGTGATCTTTGGCAGTCTCCATCTCAATGTACCTTAAATATGGAAGAAGGCTGATGGTTTTACCAAAGTCTTTTTTCTTAAGTTCATTTGTGTAGCTTAAAGAATTCCTTGACTTTTTGACTGATGGTATTATCAGACAACAGGTTTTCTTCATCTATCACAGATGAAAAAAAAAAAAAAAATATCACTTTTTTTTAAACAATTGTAAAACTATGCAATTTTTCCTTACAAACTTATTTCTATCTATGATGACCAACTGTTTTTGGGATTGGCATTTGAAATGTCACTTGAAAAGATTGCTTTGATGACAACAGCTAGATCATATGAGTCTAGGCTTAAGCTCTTCAGCAGTCTTGCAAACTGTGTGAAAAATAGTTGCAGCTATCCTTACCCTAAGGAGTTATTTAATACAACCTTTAGTGTTACAGTCTTCCTTAAAACATGCTATTTTATCTAGAGCTTATATGTGATAAAAATGAGTTATAACTACTTACTGTTTTCTGAAGCCTTTCTTAGTATTTATGTTTCAAATAAAACCCTTCCCTTTGGAGTTGAAATAATTTGTTAGGAGTTTTTATGGAAAGGGAGATGAGTGTACCATACAAAGAATATTTTTATTTAGTAACATACTTTTTCAAAGCATGTATTTTCCTTTTCAATAAGGTTTGGAAATTGTGTCATGTACATACTGTTTGTACAGCTTTAGAAATTCTGCTATTTCTCTATATGTATCTCATTTGACATCCAGTAGCAGCAGTAAGAGTTTGCAGACTGTGTTGGGTTTGCATGGCAAGGTCCTGGTATCAGGGGGCTACAGGGGCAGCTGCTGCGAGAAGCTGCCAGAAGGTTCCCCCGTGTCCGCCCGAGCCAACGCCAGCCGGCTCCGAGACGGACCCGCCGCTGGCCAAGGCCGAGCCCAGCAGCGATGGCGGTAGCGCCTCTGGGGTAACGGATTTAGGAAGGGGGGAAAAACACCCGAGCGCCTGCAGCTGGAGAGAGGAGCGAGAACACGCGAGAGCAACAACTCTGCAGGCAGCAGGGCAGCGAAGCAGGAGGGGCGGGAGGTGCTCCAGGCGCCGGAGCAGAGATTCCCCTGCGGCCCCGAGGTGCAGCCCGTGGGGAGGCAGGCTGGGCCCTGCAGCCCGGGGAGGCCCACGGAGGAGCAGATCTCCACCTGCAGCCCGGGGAGGACCCCGCGCCGGAGCAGGGGGATGCCCGAAGGAGGCTGTGACCCCGCGGGAAGCCCGCGCTGGAGCGGGCTCCTGGCAGGGCCCGTGGGCCCGTGGGGAGAGGAGCCCGCGCTGGAGCAGGTTTGCTGGCAGGACTGGTGACCCCGTGGGGGACCCACGCGGGAGCGGTCTGTGCCGGAGGGACTGCACCCCCTGGGAGGGACCCACGCTGGAGCAGGTCGTGAAGAACTGCAGCCCGCGGGAAGGACTCACGTGGGAGAAGTTCGTGGAGGACTGTCTGCCGTGGGAGGGACCCACGCTGGAGCAGGGGAGTGTGAGGAGTCCTCCCCGGAGGGGGAAGGAGCAGCAGAGACAAGGTGTGATGAGCTGAACACAACCCCCATTCCCCGTCCCCCCGCACTGCTGGGGGGGAGGAGGCAGAGAGAATCGGGAGTGAAGTTAAGCCTGGGAAGAAGGGAGGGGTGGGGGGAAGGAGTTTTTAAGATTTGGTTTTATTTCTCATTATCCTACCCTGATTTGATAGGTAATAAACTAATCTCCCCAAGTTGTGTCTATTTTGCCTGAGATGGCAATTGGTGAGTGATCTCTCCCTGTCCTTACCTCAACCCACGAGCCTTTCATTATATTTTCTCTCCCCTGCCCATCAGAGGAGGGGAGTGATAGAGCTGCTTTGGTGGGCACCTGGCCTCCAGCCAGGGTCAACCCACCACACAAACTTGTGGAGATCTTGCCTAACTATAGGCTACCTCGAATTCTTTATTTTCTAGAAAGAATTTCTCTACCCAGGTCTTAGACTAGTTGATAGGAGACCAGAGAGCTCGGTTGCCACTTTGAGCAGACACTCTACTCACTGCTTGTCACACAGTGGCTGTCCTGCTTGTGGCACTTGTGCCTAGTCAGTAATGTTAAATAATGAACCTGAAGGTTTTTTGTTCTAGTATCACTGAAAAGTTACTCATTGCCCAGGATTTTTTTCCTCTTAATAGAAGAAATTCTTTTGAAATTGGGAACACTCCTCTAACTCTTTTCAGTCCTGAAGAGGTGTGATTGCACAAGAATAATTGGATTATTGGCCTTTGGCACAGAACTATTGGAATCTCTTTAGCTCTAATGTAGTAGAGCAATAGGATTTGAAATTTAATGGCTTCTTTTCAGGTACATGTGATCACCAATCTGTGCTTTATGAAGTATACTTCTCTATGGAGTTATGGTCTAAATGTAGAAACAAGCGCTCTGTTTTTCATACAGAAAAAAAATCCTGAAACTCCTTTTTTTTTTTTTTACTATGTTCTTTAAGAAAAGAGTAGATCTTCTGGTTGTAACTAAAATTTTGTTTGCTGAAAAATGTGCAAGCTGTTCTCGCTCTCCTGTGCCATTCTCACTTTCACCATCCTTCTTACAACTATTGTTGATTTTTATGCCAAGTAGCAGCACAATATTGTTATGCCAAATGTGTGGCTTAAGGTTCTGAGAGCCAGAAGACATGACTGCAGCATGATTATGGAGATACTCATTCAGGTAGCGTAAGAACACTGTTTATGGAAACTGTTTTCTGGCAGATTCTAAGGCCCTTAGTACACAAGGAAGCTAATTTTTGGTGCATTCTTGGTCTTGATTGTTTTTCTATATATGCAGTAGCCATAGAATAAAATAGCAGATATTCTTAGTTAAGTTTTCTATGCTCACTAAAAATAAGTATCAAAAAACTGCATATAGTTTGCATATTTTTTTCAGTGGGTAATAATTACAGGTAAATGAGGCAGAAGTAGCATTGGTTCCTCAGTTTAATCTTTTAATGATTTGGTCAAAAGTGTCACTGTAACTGACTGTATCTGTTCAGCTCTGTTACTTTAATGATTTAAAACCACTGCATTAGCCACTAGTCAGTTGAAAAATAAATACTTAGGTAAAGTCAAGAACATGATTACCGTTCTAAAAGCACTTGTTTTTGTAAAGTGAGATTAGAAATACTTCCCATTAAACGTTCACAAAAATTGTCTACTAATAATTGTTTATGTTTTTACTTTTTTTGTATACAGAATTGAAATAAATATTTTTTTACATTTAAAACTGTCTTTTTTTCATTAGAGCAATTAATGAGGTCTATATTTTAAATTACAGGGCTGCCACTATATTGTTGGAAATGAAGACTTGTGATGCTGAGAGGACAGATTGATTATGTTGGGACTAATTTTGTTTCTTTTGAATCTAGTGGAAGTTTGGGGATTGGATTATTGGGAAGTTCTGGTACTTAAAGTATTTTGAGAAGTTTATTAACAGAATGATTCCTTAGTATGGTTTTTACCTTTAAAAAACTCCTATCATTTTAGGTTTCAGAGCACTGATGATGGCAGATGTAAGTTGCAGCTGAATATCTAATATATGCTCTGTTGCACTTTATCTCTTCAGGGACAAAAATTAAGGGCAATCTACATAGATGAGTATTCCACATTGTGTATTTTCTGACACTGTTTAGTGCCTGACTAACTCTACATAAAGTAAGGATTCTTTAAGAAAAGCAGTTTTGTATAAAATATTTTAGCATCTTTGCTGAAGGAGCTGTGATTCCTTGTGTTTTTTTTTTTTTGTACTTCCTCTGAACTCTCGTGATCAGGTACCATGTAAGAAATTCCACCCCCTTAATTAATCCTAATCAGCAGACTTGTTAACAGGCACATACTTGAAATTTAATGCTTGAATGACCTAACACATTGCTGCTAATAAATATGGGTTTCTTGCAGTCCAGAATTAAGATGTGGTAAAAAAAAGTGTGTTTTAACTTTTGAAATTCTTTTCCCTATTCTGTCTTGTCTTTAAGCACAGGCAAACTGTGTGTTCTTGTGTGTGTATGCTTTTCTTCCTGTCATTGCCACTTCTCCTAAACGGGGGGGGGAAATGCCCTTGTGAGAGAACAATATTCAAAGCTGTTCTGCATGCCAGCAGGACAGGCCGTGCCGGGTGGGTGCGGGTGGAATCAGTGGTCTCCATACGGGCTGTACACCAGATCAGAATCTGTCCTGCCCCCCTTAAACGGGCGCGTTGGTGCTGGGGGCAGTGTGTTGGTTCTGCTGCCCCGCCGCCTCTGAGCCGTCCTTCTGCCCGAAGCTCTGTTTTCTGTGACTCCCTTTCAAACAAGGTTTGCTTTGTTGTTTGAGGAAAATCAAACCCACAATTTTCATGGTCCGTTTTTTACAAAGTTTGAGTAATGTCAACTTGTTTTTTTTCACAATATCCCTTAAGAACCACTCTAAGAATTCCGTTGGCATAAAGGGTGTAGTAGGAGACAGTGAGGGGACTGGCCACTTCAGAGGGGTTTTGCCTTTTTGGTTTGGTTTTATTTGAAAGCGAAAGGGAGAATATAACTCTTATCATTAGGTTTTATTTGTTCATACCACATATGAAGATAAGTAAAAAAGAGCCCGGATATTGGTTCATTAAATTAGTGATATATATGTATATATATAAAAGTCTGTGGAATGACGATCCATCTTGGGAGAAAAGGAAATTCTTAAACAGACCTTGCTAGGAGCCTGTGTTGATTGATCTGAAGAAAGTCCCAGTTTTGATAGGTTTTATGCTAAAGAAGGAGAAAGAGGAAAGAGAGCGTACCTGGTAAGAGGTAGTCTTTGTACCAAGTCTTTATGGCAGATGTCTTACTATTTGTTTTTTATATATATATATATATATACACACACATACACGCACATATATAAAGGAGCTTAAATTGCAGATGATAGAGTAAAGCAGCCATGAGCATTTTTAGTCCAGGATGGTTATCCTGACCAAATGAAGGCAAAATGACTTGCCTTTTCTTCTCTGTAGTAATTCCATGATTGGAAATGTCTGCAGGACAAAAGTAACTTCCTTTTGTTATCCATCACTCTCTTTAATTACGATACCCATATATGCTAAGTGTATATACTCATAAATATAAGAATAAAGAACTGCTGAACCTTTGAACCTCCTGCTTGTATCTAGACCGTGGAGCTCAATGGGTGCACGCTGTCTGAAGATTGCACAGCGTATCTGAGTGAAACTTGAATGAACAGCTTGAAAAACAGTTCAGGTACAGCTGCCTGTTGTGTTGTTGCGATGTGACGGGAATGGGTGTTGCAGTTCATTTTCACTTCTGATTCTGTGACTGGTGAATTGTAACAATTTTTGGTTAGCGTTGAGTGACTAAGTGTGAGTCACTTCAGCAAAACAGCTGGCTAACAGATACTCGTGTTGATGTGACTTCTCGAAGGAGTGTGCAGACATGAAGGACAATCATTTTAGGATGTTATTATAAGCTACTAAGTGTCTCTTATGTTATAAAAGAAAAAATAATAAAATTGGTAATTTATTTGTTACCAGATTTCAGAGGGTAAGGAAATATTAAAAATTCTCAGCTTTCAGTTGTAGAACTGTTCCTAAAGCAATATCATGCTTTGTGAAGGGTCTAAATCTTGTAATAAATACTGGTATCTATTTACTCTTTCAGGAGCTGTGAAAATTTGAGACAGTTTGCCATGCAAATTTAATATGGTTTGGGTATTTCTGTTTATATGAGGCACTCAGAATGGTAAAGCAATTGGGTTAATAAAAGAGAAGATCGAGTGTATGTATGACAGTCTTCTGCTGCATAAGAGCAGTGATAAGTTCATCGCTTGTCCACTGATAAGAAGAAATTGGCCTAATTTGCAGCAAAGTGGCTGGAAGCAAAGGACTTCTACACATGTAGATAGCAAACTTTTCTAATAGGTTTAGGGATGTTCTGGAATTTCCTTCTTTAGTTTTTTTTGGAGCAGGTTAAACCTGAAAAGGGCTGCTGAGGAGGTAAACAGTAAATGTTCTTGCCTTGGTGGAGAATGTAGGGTTAGGTTAGGTCCTTCACCAAATTATTCCTTACAGGGATCATTTAAGAGCTATCGGTGGGTGGGTCCTTACACAGGTAACAAGGAATGGCTCCTAAATCTGTACAACATTGAGTATGGAATGACCTGTTTGCTGACCTTTTAAAATTATAAACTAAGCATATACGTATGCAGTTCAGCACCTGAGGTGACTGTTGTGTATTCTTTTGCCCAATTAGCAAGTGGATCGTGTTCTTAAACAGCTGAAGTCATCTCTAAAGCCAATAATGGAACTCAGCTGCTTTTGGTAAGGTTTTTCGTTTACATTAGTACAAAATGTAATTCGGCAACTTCTGATAAAAGCTTCAAAATACCTGGTGTGCAGGGGTCAAACCTGGCACTGTCATTTTGTCCAACATTTAAAAAAAAATAGAGTTTGTCAGAGCACCCTTGATTCTAGAAAGCTTTGCTGTTCAAAACAGCACTTGAGTAAATGTTTATTTAAAGGCATACGCTTTCCTGGCCGGGGGTACTGCAGGTATGTGTGTATTGCAGTGCGTCTGTTGGGGGAAGCCGGGTAATTGTTTTGCTGCTGTTTAGGGCTGAGGCTTCTGATTGTATTAAAAAGTACGTTACTAGTTCCATTTTCACTGCTGCATGTAGCTACAGACCTGAAATCCAGAATGAGCAATTAGTTTATAAAAAGGTACTTTGGAATTGGATTATGTAAGTGAAATGAGTAGGACAGAGGGTCAGTGAGCAGTGACACGTGTAATTTGGAAGGCACTGTAGTGATAAACCATTTCTTAAGGCAGGATGCTTAAATTCTCAGTTTCTGCACATCGTCATCAGGAAGCATACGTGGTACTTGCAGAGATACAGTCTGTCTGTGTATGACCCGAAGTTCTATAACATTGGTACCATTTACTGCATGCATTTCACTTTTTACATGCATCTTAAATGTCTAAACACAATAAAAATAAAACATTTGAAAATACTAATTTGCTTTAGCATTTTTAAAATACCGTATGTGAACTCTAACAAGCTACAGTTCCAACTGCCTCAGAGTAGCCATTTTTATTAGAGATTTCTTCAATTCCCATCAGAATTAATTGTTCTCTACCTTTGAGAAAGTTTAATCTCCATTCCAATGAAATCACCTCTGTGCTCATTGTGCTAAATTGTGTAAGAAGGAGCATCTGTCTACTATAGGAGTGGTATTTGTAATCTGTGCATGGAAGACTCAATTCTGATAAAGACCTTGCTTTTCTGTGTACCGAAGCTTTGTTTAAGCAGGCTGAACATGATGTTGGTTCGGGGCTCGAGTGCTTCATTCCAAATCTTTCTGCAAAGCACTCGGGGGTAATACACAGTGGTTGTTCTTTACCGTGGTACCTTACTACGTAGGTTTGTTTAGGAATTGGTTAGAATTTTGTCTGTGTTTTGCATTTCTGCTTCACTGAATCTGTGGAAAACATTAAAATGGGGAGTTCCAAACACCATGAAGCTCAAGCCACCTTTTGAGAAGCTGTCGAGCACTGTGTGGTCAGGCAGAAGGTGAGATTTGCTATGAGGTTGCGTTAGATGCTGAAGGCTGCCTACAGTGTATTGAGAAGCCAGGGCTGGGTAATACATTCACTCTAGACTGATAAATGTGGAGTTGTGTTGTACTTTACACTTAAAATACCACCTCTAATTCACCTTCCAGTACCTGTTGGAGCACCTGGATGAAGTGTTAAATATGACAGTGGAGCAGAATCTGTTTGAAAGCTGATGGTGATTTTTCCTCCACCTGGCTAGTTTTCCAGCTGGTTAAGGTGAGCAGAATTGCACAAGCTATTTTTGTTTTCTGTTTCATTTAAACTGCTGATTTCTGAAATAGGATCCAGTCATGAAATAGATCCCCATTTTGATGAAGTGATTGCTTCACCTGCTGGAAAGCTTTTACCAGAGTTGTCGAACTTTTTATAGTTTCAGAGTGAAGGCAGGTCAGCTCTGTCCTTGCCTGACTGCTCCTCTTCACAGCTGGCTTTGGAGAAAAATTTTTCTTGCAAACACCTGTTCCCCGTTATAAATCTTCCCCATGGCCTCAAATGTGTTCTTGTTTTGTTTTGCTTTGTTTTTTTTCTTTCTTACCCAGACAGTTCTAATACATGTAAAGCATCAGAGCAGAAGTCCACATATTTGCAGCCTTTAGCTATGTATGGCATAATTGAATGCAGTTAAGTTCTGTAAGGATTGCTTGTAAGCCCTGAAAAGGCCAGGCTTCAGTCCGGGGTGTTTGTGAAAAGTGATGTTATTCCTTGTGGTCCATGTGGAACAACAGAAAGTTTGTTCCCAGATGGATCTGGTTTATTTCCTGAATTTGGATCTTGGTAATACCTAAAGGATTGATGCGGGCTGATGCTGTGGTTTTGCACTCTGTGCTGCAGAGCTCACGTGCTCATTGTAGTCCGGCGATCTTCAGCTGTATAGTGGGAGCAGAAGGCATGATGCAGATCATATTTAGTTTTTTCTCAGTAGTGTGCTTTAACATTTTCGGGGAATCTTTTTCAAACAAATAACAGCTTGGGTTGACAGATAAAAGCTTTGTTTAATTTGCCTTAAACACAGGCAAAAAAAAATGTATGGACTGTAAGAATTCTATGTTTTTTTGGCTGTTTTGACACTTAGTTTGTTTCTCTGGTGCTTGTGAACCAGCCAAAGTAGGAAAAGGTTGTTAGGTTAAGAGTTTCCTCTGGAAGAAGTCCTGGAACAGTTTTGCTTAAACTTGCTGCACATAATAATGTGATTCTGGGCATGAGTCCTGAAGCAGTTTGCTGCTGTGGGAACCCCAAGGTCCGGAGGAGGCAGAGGTGCTCCATGGCAGAAGAGGCTCAGCCCTGGAGGCCGGGAGCCCTTGCAGGACTCGAGCCGAGCGGGTGCTCCCCCCGAAGGGCTGCAGCCCACCCAGCACCCGTGTTGGAGCACAGGGGAAGAGCGAGAAGGCAGGCGCAGCACAGAGACATCGTGTTGTGCCTGGGAACCCCCCCAGAAGCACTCTGCCACCTCTTGCCCCACTGAAGGGGCTTGAGTGTAACCTGCAGCAATAACAAGGGCCAAAACCTGAATTGGCAGTTAAATATCTGTGCTTAATGGCAATAAATTAAGTTAAATTCTGCACGTTGAGTCTGTCTAGCCCACAACAGCACTTGGTAATTCATTTCCCTGTTTATATTTCACCCCACGATCTTTCTTGATCTTTTTCCTGCCGCTGTCCCCCCTGTCCTGTCCAGGGATGCCCAGCAGCTCCCCGGCACAGGGCACTGCTGGCACGGGGGCACGCGGGGCAGCCGGGCCGGCCCAGGGCGGGTGTGCTTCCCCTGCAGGGAGAGGTGCAAGTTTGGGTGGGCTCGCAGGCCCCAGCTAAACATTTTTTCTGTTTGCAGTTTAACCATCTTTTGTGTTATCTCGTTCCAATACCTGTTTTTAGAATGTGATTTATGGACTTCAAATCCAGAAATTCTACCATACACAAAGCACGCTTTAAAAATACCATTTTTTACAATACAGCACCACTGTGATAAAACGAGCGATACCCGTTTTCAGGTTTCCTTTATTCTCTCCCTTTTGACAAGGCCTGTATACACCAAAAGATGAAATTCCGTTCAGAAGACATTTTCAGTATTAGGCCTGTGCATCTCTTCCCTTGTCTTACGAAAAACAGCAAATGCCGCAAAAATGGCCCCACTTCTTAGCAGCAGGTCAGGGCTCAGGCTGGGCAGTGTTTTTCTTCCACAAGTTACCTTCCAGAAATCCTGATGTGGAGGGAGGTGAAGGAGAGAGAAGAATCTGACAACTGCCCTGGGGATTTGCCATGACGTCGAGCCAGGCACTGTCCCCGCTTCCTCGCCACCCGGGTGCCAGGTTTTGCAAGGGCGATGGGCGAGCAAGCCTCCTCATTGTAAACCACGGGTTCAGAATTTAATTCCAGGGCAGTTCACCCCGAACAGTGCTAATTCCAAAGACCTCCAAGTGCAGCCAGCGTTATTTTCTGTGTTGCTGTTAGTATCCTGCCTGCTGTTTCGGATAAAATTCTCTTCTCTACCGGGCCTACACAAGATCCAAAGCTCCTGAATGCAGCAGTAAGGGTAATTTGGACTCTAAGGACTAGCACAGGGCCATTGCCTTTAGGAGTGTTTTTACTCATGGACAGTTTCAGCTATTACCTTTCATACATGATTTCATAATTAAGTACCCCATGAGTTATTTACCAGTTATTTTTCTGCTTATAGTCACTGGACAAATGATTGCAGAATTAAAGCGTATGCTGCTTTAGACTTTGGTCTTTCTTACTTGCTTTGTAATATTAAGCAGTTTATCTGCAATTTCATTTTGAATTAGTAGAATATTTCTGATAAGTGACTTACAGAGTCAGCTAAGCATGGAAGGAGAATTTACACACCTAATAAATAGTTAACATACCTGGTAGCTTAAAAATACATCTCCTATATAATACGTTCTTATAGAACATAGTAAATTGTACCTGGCACAGGTGCAGAAACCCTGCATCAAAATGATGGAAAACCACGATTGCCTTGCATGATGTTTTTAAGTCAAACAAAAGAGTAAGATGGTAAAATGCCATAAAATGGCTTATTTAGATTACTGCATCTTGGGTTTTGTTGATTCTCTCAGGTGTTTTTAACTTTTTTTCTGAGTACTTGTTCAGGTTGGATGAACACAGATCCAATTCCAAAATCCCATTTGATTCCATCTTACTTGTCATCCTATGACAAAGTTTGCAATAACACACTGTATAAGATTTTCTTTATTGTTTATCTAAGTGCAGTTAGAACCAAAAGCCCCACTGTAAATATTTCCAGCGAAGCGACCGCCCTTCTCCAGAGACTTCCTAACCTGAGAGGAGGCTGCAGATGCGTAGCGGAGGAGCTGGTGAGAACTGTCAGGAGAAGCTCACAAGTGAGCCCTTAATGTGGAATGACCTGTAACACTGAGGGGATGGGAACATCACCTGAGGAGGGGGGGTCTGCTACTGTGAACATAAGCCGAGGCTGCCAGCGCGCTGTGGTTTGAGCTGTGGCCCTTTTGGAAATACAGCTCGCGCACCTGAAAGAGTAGGAGGGTGGTTAAGGCACGGCGCCCCTCTCTGCCTGCGGCTCGGCTCGCCCACGAGTGACCTCCGAGGCTGCTCTGCAGCCCCCAGGCGTTGGGCTCTCCCTGGGGCCGGGTTGGCAGTCTCACCGCCGCGGGCTGCTCTCGGAGGCGGGGGGCTGCGGGGCAGGGCTCCCTCCCGCCTCAGGCGGCTGCGCGGGTGCGGGGCCCGGAGCGCGCCGGGGGGGTCACCGCGGGGTGAAGCGAGAGGTGCGCCCTGGCCCAGGCGGCCAGGGGGGCCCCCAGGGCAGCGCTCCCCGCGGGCCGGGGGGGCGGTTGCGTGGCGGTGAGCGGAGCCGAGCCGAGCGGGGGCCTGGCCGGTAGCCTCGCAAGGAAGTTGCACAGTGGGGCATTTACGCTCGAAGGGACTTACCCTCTGAGTGTTCGGTGTCCCGCTGGCTGGGAGCGGAATGTCCGTCCTTCCTGCGCTTTGAGTTTGTGTATCCAGCTTTTCAGTCGGCTGATCAGCCTGCTGGACTCACGGTGGCTTCGGAGGCAGTTTTCTTTGAATCGGGACTCTTGGACATGGATCTCTTTTTCCTTGAAAATCCTTCTGCTGGGGGCATGTCTCTTGGTGAACACAAATTGAAAAGAAAAGTGCTGGAAAAAAACATTTTATTCCATTCTAGTAAAATATAGCTTTTTTAAGTGGTGAAAGGAGCATTTGTGGCCCTTCTGCACATGATGAATTCGCCATTTGCAATTTGTATTCCCAGTAGCATCACCATGATTCCAATACGCACTTAATAGTTCTGGTTTTGTAGCTGAATGATGGAGTTATAAATGTGTTAACATTTTCAAAAGGTGATTAGTGCTTTAGCTTATAAACATTTTAACAATCAATGCTTTAAAAAAATAAAAAGCATCTCTTAAGCTATGATTCCGTAAGGATTTTAAAGGTGATGGTTCTTTTTTTTTTTTTTTAGTGGTGTATTTATAAAAATAAAGCAATAAATGAACCAAATTTATTAGCTTCAAGTTTAGACAATTGTCCTAAAGTTTCTCATATTCATCACTCAGATAAGTTCACCCATTTTATCACCACACTACTCTTTCTTTTCAATAAATATTAGAAACTGCTTTGTTTCTTCAGCTACTTGGTTTGGAGCTTAATAATTTAACTACTCTTAGCAATTAATTGTGAATATATATATATAGCTTTTTAAGGATTCGTTATCTCATCCAATTTTATTTTCTTACATAATCTGCTGTTAAATGGATTTGCAACTTTTTGTTGCTTATGAGAGCCGAACTAACAGTGCTTTTGCAGTTTGCTTCAGTGCTGCAATGGTAAAAGACTCTGATCTTAGTTTTTTTTTATTATGAGTTTTTTTAACAATTACATTTTCCCCTGCCCTCGGAAACAGCATGTGCAAGTTTCTTTAGCTTGGGATATTCAGCTATAGGGATTTAAGCAATTTGTATGTTTGCACATCTGTATCTATAAGGATAAATATTTATAACATGCCATACAAATGCACATACTCTTCCTGTTGTAAATGCCATTTTGAACAGGAAATCCATTGCCTTGTGGGACAGGTATAGTATATTATGGCTGAGGGACTCCAATGTGATGGAGTTTCAGGTTTTTTTTTCTTTTTCAGTTTTTTACAATAGATTTTACTACTGGTAGATGTGTATACATGGGTGGATGAGGCTCAACAGATCTTTCATCTTTTAGTCTTACATATCCATTCAAACAGAGTGCTGCACACTTTCAAATGTATTCAAATATTAAATACTGTTTAAACCTTTAGCACGCTGTTCATCTTTACGCAAGTCTCACTCTGGCTGTCCATTTTTGTTTGGCTGGTTAGCCATGCTTCAGGCACACCTGGCATCTACTGATTTTTCTCCTCTGCTCTTGTCCTTCTTTCAGAGTTCCTGATGGGGGGGCTGATGCAAACTGCAATTCAGGCATCACGGTTGTTAGCCAGAAACTGTATTCATTAGCAAAAAACTGACATGTTCCCCGCTGACCCTGGCATTCAATGAATGGTGCTGATCTGAAGTCTTCCAGGCAACTTCCAGGTGACATAAGGGACTGTCCTCCACCCTGATCACCAGATCCAGTGTGCTGGAAAAAAACAATGAAAGAACAGGATAACTGTGCATAAAAAATAGGTAAATTATGTCAATCTGTCTTTTTCTGACTTTATTTGCTTTTGACTGTACTATTTTTGGTGATCTTAAGTTGGAGGAGACTTCCTTCACTGGAGGAAGTCTTAATCTGCTCTGCAATGAGCTAATCTCAGAAGCCAGGTTATTTATTTTTCTGGTATTTATCAAACTGAAGAGTAATCCAGGTTGATTCTAAACAATGCTGTTATCTGAACTGCTGCAAATGTAACTAGAGGATGGCATTAAAAGGACCTGGTCCTCCAGTTCTGAAAAATGTGTCTTTGTACAAGAAAATCCTATTGTTTAATAAAGACAAGCAAGCAAAATCTTAGTAATTTTAAGAAATGTGTAGCTTAAGGCTATAACTTTAGTATCTATAGCTACGACCAGGTTCTGCAATTTGGAACTAACCCTCCTCTTGTTTCTTTTTGTGAATTTTCTTTTTAAATGTTTGCTGGACACTGGATAGCTTACTTTTCAGAGCTAAAAATCTTTGAACGTTTAGAACACAAAAGCTGTATGAAAGAAACTTACAGATACGAGGATATGCCCGGACCCTTACCATCAAAAAGGAATATCCTATCCAAAGACTCCTCCAGTTCACTGGGCAGGGAGGAATGGACTCATCTTGGCTGTGAACTGCCACCGCTTGGGCTGGGGCCTCACACACGGCACATCTGCTTATGTACGGTTGTATTTCTTCCTCAGAGAGCGGTGTCGTTGGTAAAGGAGCAGCACTTGACAACCAGTAAGACTTATCATTTCGACTGGCATAGTAACAGACTTGGTTGATATTACAGTAAGCAAAAGGCATGGTATTAAACACAGGAAGACAAGATCCTGCCAGACCTGAAAGCAGTAACAAACGATGCAGATTATTCCACTTCTTTCTAGGTAAATTGAAAATAGTGTTCTGGGTAGTGTTGCTGCAAAACTACATATCTGAACAGGAGTTACGCAATTCACAGATTAAACCTCCCATGCTCTTTCCCAAAGTGGCTAGTTATATTGAAAACAGAAACTGTTTTTACTAGTATGTATCTTCCTTTGATCAATAATACTTAATTGTATCGCAATCCAGCGTTTAAACATGATGTAGTTTGTCACCATGAGAAACAGTTACGATAAATTTTTTATCAGCGCCAATGCTGAAAAAAAAAAATTAGGCAAGAGGTGAGGGCTGGTTTAAAAGGAGATTAGCTATTTTCAAACTCATTAGGAGCAGTGAGAAACCAAATGCCAATGCTGATTAATAGAAAATTTTTCTAATGTATGACAAGCCGTTGCTACCAGTGCATTAGGCTGAAAGCTCAGCAGCTGTTCTATTGCCGTTCGGAAAGGTTTCACAGACTCTCAAAGTGAAAAGTAAAAGGATTGAGGGATTTTGCAGAGCCAGTCCTGCGAAATTCTTATCAGGCAGACATCAGTGGAAATTAAGAAGTGACTGTTGCGTACTTCAGAGGTGAAGTTCTTCTTCCAGAACTGAATTTAGACCAGTTTCATGATCACCTATTTAGTTAACAATAAAAATCACTGCATATGTGTTCTGCCTTGAACTTTGTGTGATGTACTATTTCTGTAATGCCCCAAACCCCTAGTGCCTTCTTTAAAGACATGTGACATTTCTATACAGAAGCCAGTTTTGTTTATTATTGATAATATTCCATTCCAGTACTGATAAAGGATCTGAAATAGCCTGAGTAAGGAAAATGCCTGCAAAAAGAACACACTGGTCACAGGAGACAAGGACTTTATTTTCTTTGAATCTGATTTTCACTGCTGTTATACAGAATTCTGTTACCAGCTGGCTCTCCCAACTGTTTGGGGAATGCCAAACCCCCAATAGTGAAAACATTTCAAAGCAACACTGCTGTATTAAAAACACGTCCTTTTATTGCTCTTTTAAACATTTCTTTTTTGCCCAGCTTATTAGGACCTTGATCCTTTCCTCCTAGGAGACTTCTCTGTCTCTTGTATAACAAAACAGCAAGAATTCAGGAAACTCCTTCTGTGCAAATTGCCACCAATCAGTTTCTCAGGCTGCAAGTCAGGCAGCTTATTTAGACAGCTAATTTTGGTCAGAATTGTATACATCTTAGAAGAAATGACCTGAGACACCAAAAGGAGCTGTGTTTGGGAGAAATTTGACTGTCTTTTCCAAAAATTATTACCTTCTGACTCCTAAAACCACACAATTCTGCTGTACACATGATGCATAATTTTATTTGTAAAAGTTATTTATACTGTCCAGCTGTAACCACTTGCCTTAGCCAGCTCTTTTTCCCAACTTCTATCTACAGTGAAAAGGAGCAGATCCTCCAGGGCGTTATTTCAGAGTGGCCAAATAAGATTCCTGATCTAGGAAAATCTCTCCAGTGAGTTCAAAGACATCCCAAAATGACTAGACAGGATAAATTAAATAAACCACTCATCTCTCCAACTTCTATTCAAAATTTCTTAGACGTAGAAATGCTTTTTTCATTCAACTGCATAGCAGCAGAAACCCATTTTAAATGGGTCACATAATAGGGCGGCATAATCAAGTCCATTATAATCAGTGTAAATTAGTGTAAATTCTGCAGAAAATAACTGATGACTCTCTAGTGTGCTCCACTTGACTTGTCTTTCATTGTACAGATCACACCATATTAGACCTTAACTGTCCTACAACACATACCGAGATCTTGATTATGAGCTTTCTCTTGTCCTTCCAGGTACAGCAGACTATAGCCAGTCCATAATTTTGGCATCCCCTGTGGACAGAGTGGTTCTCTGTCTGACTGGCTGTGAAGGACGAGCAAGAATCCACTTCCAGATCTAATATGGGGGCCTGGTGGTCCTGGGATACCAGTCTGGCCAGGTGGACCTTATACATAGGAGAAAAGGTAAAAGAAATTTACTCATATGAACACATAGCTAGCGTGAACTTTTATTTTTTACTATATTTAAGTGTTCAGTAAGGGGTACCTGACTGAATATAATACAACTGCACAGGTTGGCATGGGTGATAAAGAGAACAGTAGACTCATGTTATCCTTACAGGAGAGAAATGAACTAGATTGCCCCTGAATGCTTGATAGTTGACTTTTCTATTGTGCCTCTGTCCTGTGCTGTGTGGATTAAGAAATGAACTGAGGTGGACAATGACTTCCCAGACTTACTCACTAGGATGACTTGTTTGGACTGAATTTGAATCCCTGCAGTAACAGTTAATGCTGCTTCCTCTCATATGTATCAAAACATTAATTTATTAAACAGCAGTCACAGTTAAAATACAATTTTAATTACTCACAGACAGATGCACCATTAGCCCCGGCTCAGACATGCATACCTATGGTATATGGTGTTTAAGCATGTGTGGTTAATTTCCTTTCTGGTTAATAATGGACGCTGAGATAGATTTTCTTCTGATAGATCTTTTCACGTGTTACAAAATCTTTCACAAATGTCACTATCAGGGCTTGAACTGAGAGAGGGGGAAAGAAGTGTCACAGTATCTCAGGCTTGAGGTGGATGTATCCATGTGCGAATTGGGAGAGTAGAGAGAAAACTTGGTCTATGCATGGCTCATCTCTTCCCCCAGAAGTCACATTCCATTCTTACCTCGTGGCCCAGCGTATCCTTGCTCTCCTACATTCCCTTGGTCACCCGGAGGTCCAGGTGCCCCAGGTAAGCCATCTTGACCTGGCAGGCCGCCTGACCCTTCTTCACCTTTTCTTCCTAGATAAATACAAAGCATGCGCTTTCCCTTCATATGGCTGCATTTAAAGGTTATACATTGTCCAAACATACACAGCGTGCAGAGGGCCACTCAGCAAAACCGACACTATGAAGAGACGATGCTTCAGGACAGAGAGGTGCAGAACTGCTTTCTGCGGGGAATCCTCGTTACAGTTTATTCACCGTGTGACCACACTAGTGGCTCAGAGAGGCATGGCTTTTGTAACAGCAATGCTGGTAAGGTTTTATGTCCTCTCTACAGAACTTGTGTGATTTACAGTTGCAATAAAAGCACTAACAAACATGATCATGACAAGCCTTGCAGAATTGTCATCAGTATCTGTACCAGGTAATGAGTTATAACTCACCCTATGGCAGGCTTTCATCTTTTAGGACCCAGTTCAGCAAAGTCTTTAAACAGGTACTGAACTTCCTGTGAAGTGATGTACGTATTGGAGAACTTACAGAACAGGGAGGGAATGTCAGAATTAGACTGCACTCAGTGGGGAAGGGTAAAGGTATTTTTAGGCTTCTGATGGCCTCACCTTTTTGTATTTCTCATATGTACATGCATTTTCTTACATTAGCAGATAACGAGGTGTGGCCATGACAGTAAAAGATACGTCTCATATGCGGAGCAGAGATAGTGATGGTCCTGTTCACGGACCACTCTAAACATCATTGGAATTGAACAAAGCTATACTTGTCAGGTACTGTTGCACTCAGCAGAGTATTTCCTCTTTAGGTAAAAAACAGTTTTCAGATGAGCATGTTTCTCTAGCACCGCAGTTGTTTCTCATTAATGATGTGTTTCATTCCTTACAAATTTTCCTATTTAACCTGAAGACTGCATAATTGAAGGTTATCTCACAACATTCAAAATTTTCCCCATGTTACTTTTTACTACGTTCATTAAGTCAAAGCAATTTAACAGCTTTTCAATGTTGGTTGCCTAGTTATTTTACTAAAGCTCAAGTACACTGAAGTTTTAGTAATACACATTGCTTTTACGAGTAAAACCTCCAGTTTGCCTTCCAAGCCAGGAAAAAAGTGGAATTCTGCTATCTTAATGAAAGTAAAAGCATTACTAAGTTTTTCTTTCATAAAACCAGTGTGAGTATGTATCACTGTATCATCTGGTTTTACAGAAACTGTTTTAATGATGTATATAATGGAAACACAGCAATTCAACCCCTGAAACATCTTTTAATTGGCAAATCAATTAAGATATATAAAACTAGACAGTTCATTGAAAATTGCCTTGTGTTCACTTTCATGAGGGGAATGTCTATTGCAGGTAATCTCCTGGGAGAAAGTCATGCATTTTCTCTCTAGAGACATTGGATGTCCACTGCAGCCACCACAACAAACTTTGGTTTCCCAAGTAGGAAATATCTAAAACCACATGAAGGATTTCCACTATCTAAACTGAAGACACTACACAGACAAGCTATGATATATTTCTATGAAGATGGTCACTGTTGGAATCATCAGTACCAGCATCACCTTAATCACTCCTTTTTAAGATCTCTTTGGCCAGTTTTCTTTTGTGGTAATTTTTTCATGTTCTAGAAGATAAAAAGTGCTATCGTAGCAGCTTTTCTGACCTCAGTTCCCTTTTAGGACTTTGTTTAGCAGAGCTTTGTGATTCATTATTGCTAAATTTTAAAGCAAGTATGTTTTTAACATCCTCCAAATACAGCCTGTGTAAACCATAGGCGTGGTTTGAGGCATTGCTTTCTCATTTGTTGGTAAAAAGGAGAAATCCCATTTGAAGAATATTTCTTCTCAACAGTGCCTGATGCTTTTGCCCTCCCTGGCAAATGGAAAATGGAATGCAGTGCAGGCAGGCTCAGGCAGCCTGGTTCAGCTGTATTGATCCATCATCCTCAGTATTAACCAGCCCACTACGTGTTTCTGGAGACTGTTCATAAGTGTTTAGGGGGAAGAGACGTGGTAAAACATAGAGAAATAACACTGACACTCTGACCCTTTTCAATCTGTTATCTAAACGACTAAAATAGACATCCAAGATTTCAAAACACAAGCTTACCTTGGGCTCCAGGGTGGCCTATAGGCCCTGGTAATCCTACGGAGCCATCATCTCCTCTTTGTCCTGCTTCCCCAGGGGGCCCTGGGATTGTAGGGCATGAATCATCTATTTTTCCTGGTTCACCAGGGTCACCTGGAATGTGTAATAGGAAAGTAAATTGCACAGAAGATAGCTCCCATGTGAAAAATCAACATAACTGTTAGTTGGTTTTTGGTATTCAAGTGTTTACTTTAAGTATTGTAAAATCTTGAATCTCTCACTGCTTTTAATTTTACTCTTAGTCTTTTAGCACAGCATTTAACAGCATGGCAAGCATGTGTTAACAGGTGTATGCTAGCTGTTATATTTCAAATATGTGGTGTCCAGTTTCTGTCTTAATGTGCCCCAAACTGATTTGAGTTGAAGCCTAAAGTCTACCCAACTTCAGTGGGACCATTTTAGCACATGTGAAGATTTACCATACTTTGCCTATTCTGTGGCTGCAAACCCATCAGTAAGCTGGCCAAAGAAGCTAACCCACAATATCCATTTAAAATAATTATAATAATAAAAAATAAAGAATGGCCACTTTTTAGGTATTGAAAGTTACTAGGAGCTATTGGCTATGTACATTTTGGAACAAAATCAGATTCAGATCAATTTAGTCAGATTAAGGGTTTAGTGTTTGTAGTAATCCAGTGTTAGGATTCAAGCTTTTGCTAAATTTTTTGTTAAGAAGCATTTTCTGTGACAACAGAAGACCAAATTGGTAATTTGGAACAAGTGTGTTTTACAAGTCTAATTGACATCATAGCATGAGACCTCTCAGCATAGCATTATCCTGATATTGGTCTTCTTGGAAGTACTAGCTATTTATGTGAAACATTTTTTAGAACTATGTTGTAGCAGTATCTGCTATTCCTAGCAGCCAAAACAAGAATACCTTCTGCTAAGAGTGGAATGTATCTATACAGAAGGAAGCCCACATGGAAAGAACAATAATCAGTAGTCATCAACTTACCTATGAAACCTGAAGGATTTGAAAAATGGAAAGCAGATTGTGGCCATTGCGGTGCAGGTGGGAACAAGTTTCAGGCATGTAAATTAGAGTAAAGAATGGAATGAGAACTGAAAACACTCTCATGAGATGACATTAGAAACAAATACATAGTTCAGAAATTTTTACACAACTCAAATGAGAAATCAGTTAAGTTGCTTTTTTTTCTGAGATCGTTTAAATTGTCTGTATGCAAGTACATGTTAGTAAGATTATATATGACTAGAAAGATCACGATTACAATTGGGTGACAATAAGCAACAGGTTCATAAGTACCTGTGGGACCTTTGGGACCAGGTTTTCCTTGAAAACCTTGGTCTCCTGGTTGTCCTGTAGCACCAGGTGGACCCTGTGGGCCATGGATTCCCATAGGACCTGGAAAGAAAACAGTTGTGCAGTTACATGTGGTTGCATTCCAAGAAGGTGAACACATAAATAAGATGAAGTCTGGCTGCTTGAGTAACGAAAAACGCTTGGGACAGCTCAATTCTGTTGTCTTCCAGAAAGAAATGGACATTTTCCTCTTCTCTCCCTGGTCTTGAGCTGAATTAAAATTTATGACTTTTTTTTAGAGAGTGGAAGGAATTAGTGTAGATAGTACTTTTCTGCAGTGTGTGAAAGAAGCAGTATCTAGATCTCTGTTTTCAAACTAAAGAATCTGTTGAAAGCCCAAAGCTATTGATATGGAGCAGATGTGAGAGTCTGTGTTAGTCCAAACACCTCTTAATCTCCCATAGTTTCTCAAGACGCTGCAGAGGGGTCAAGGTTTGCTTTATCTGGCAGATTCTGAAGTTTTACTGCTTCATTTCTCAGGTTGGTAGGGGAGTCTTCCAACAAGTAGTTGGTAGTAGTACATGTGAATCTGGCTCTACTCTGACCTTCTGCCCCAGCCCTAACTTATCTGTAGTTAACAGGGCAGAGCTATGAAATGTCCAGCCTACCCCTTCTGCCTGGCTCAGTGTCCAGTGGCAAACCCTGGTGCACAAGGCTCAGTTGCATAGGGCTGAGCATTAAGTGTACGTGCTACTTTAAAACATCTCAGGTCATACCTTTTGGGCCTCCTCTTCCTTGGTTCCCTGGCAGACCTCTGGCTCCTTGTCGCCCTCGCTGCCCAGGATTACCTGGAGCCCCTCGAATACCGGTATCGCCTGGATCTCCTCGCACAAAGAGAGTCTCTCCAGGAGGACCAGGATTCCCAGGCTGACCTACGGTAACAGAACTTTATTCTTAATATATGCATGAAGCATCAACATCTAAAATTAGACATGTTTAATTTGATTTTTTTTTGCTTTTGTGGGTTTGTTTGTTTGTTTGTTTGTTTGTTTTTTGTTTTGTTTTTTTTTTTTTTCCTGGGACATAAGACAGCCCTTGTGTGTTTTTGGAAATATTAGCATTAGCCTTGGTCCAAGGCATTGTAAGGAAGACAATAATAGGAATAGCTCCCAAAACTGTGTAGATTCTGTTAAAGCAAAAGGCAGCAAGTTAAATGTTACATGCATTGAGACACTGTTTCTCATATTTATTATAGTGTTGCTTACCCTTTCAATCTCCATACCCTATTTCCCAATAGGAAGTAAGTCTTGGTACTGGGTAAGGAAGGATTCAGATAATACTTACCATAAGGGGACAGAGCAACTTGAAAGAGCTCCATTTGAGGACCAGAATCTCTAGAAATTGACTGGATCCCTTGGCGACTTCTGCTTGTAGCAGAAGTGAGGTCTACATAAAAGCTTACAAAAGAGTTGCCAGTTTTAGCTTTCCCAGGGCTGGATTTAGATTGGAAAGCTCTTCGTGGGTTTACCAACAACAGCAGGCTTCTAGACAATGTGCTTTATCCTTCTTCCGAGGAAGAGAGACCAGTAATCTTATTTCTGTTTGCCTCTGTGGAAACTGAGATATGTTTTAGCAGCAGGACTTGTACAGAATTACCATGCAAGCAAGAAAACTGAATCTGGAGATCTGTATTTTATCCTTGTTCTGGTGATCTATCCAGTGTTCACTTCCCTGTGTATTCACTGAGGTATTGATTGTTTTCCTTGTTCTCTATATACTTTTATATGTTGTTCCACAGATAGCAACCCAGTGACTCCTAGTAACCTCAGGGGCATTCTATATGATCAAACTTTGTATTCTTGGTTTTAATACCTCTGATGCCATCTAAACCAGGTGGTCCTTGATCACCTGGAGGACCAGGAGAAGCACTATCAGGAGATCTTCCTATAGGTCCAGTGGGTCCAACAGGTCCTCTTTTACCTAAGGAATCACATTTTACAAAAAAAAAAAAAAAAAAAGAAAAAAAAATCAGAGGTTTTTTTGGGTTACAGAAATAACTTACTAACTAAACGAACAGTGACATGTGAAGTCATGGAGGTAATGTATGCTCTCACTTGTATACTGAACATACCAGTGTTTAGGCTAATGAAGACATCTCGTAGAAGTTAAACTGTTTGTTATCTTTTTAAAATTTTAAATTATTTCCATAAAATCTACTTAAACTAAAGAATGCAACATCACACATTGGTATATTGCCACAAATAGCCATCTTCTGAATTCTAACGATGGGACAAATGGTAAAAATGTAAGACAAGTGGGGACTATGAAATCATTCTGCCTGGGACAGCTTAAGTATCCACAGATTGTTCCAAGCAAAAGTGAGTTCAGCTGTCTCCTAAAAACCTCAGTGAACAAAATTTATTTACCAGCCTTAAATGTATTTTTATCCTAATTTTTAATCTGGATTTTTGCAAAATAAGACATCGATGCTCTTACATGTGAAAGGCAGGAAAATTTACAGGTTACCATCCTCTGCATAACACTTGCGACTAGTCTCAGCTTGTTAGTACGTGTGTTGCATCGTTGCCTTCTTTTCTACAGAAAAACAAATCTAGTTTCTTCAGTTTTGTTTTTGAGCCCATCCTTCCATTTACTCTCTAGTGAGTTCTCCCTAATTTGTCAAAGCTGGACACAGTATACCATAGGATCCTATGTCAAGCAGTGTTAATACATTTTAGAATTAAACTTTTTCTCTTTTTTCACTGACAGCACCATTCTGTTGACTCCCCCAGTTCATGAACGGGTAACTGAATTGAGAAAAATGACTATGTCTTCATCTTAGAATAATTCACCTTTGCTCTTTTTCTTCTGTGTGTTCTGTGACACTGTGGCAATGTTTGGTAGAGTAAAGCTGATGTCACTTCTAATCATGAAATTGCTGAGGCTTGAATGGGCCGCAGGAGACTTTCTAGTTCAACCCTCTCCTCAAAGCAGGGTCAGCTGGAGCAAGTTGCAGGGGAATCTGTCCAGCTGGGTTTTGAGTATCTCCAAGGATGGGCACTTCATAACTTCTGTGGACAACCTGTTCCCATATTCAAGTATTCTCACAGGAAAACCAAAACTTTTCCTTATATTTAAATAGAATTTCCTGTATGTCAGTTTGTGCCCATTGCCTCTTATCCTGTCACTGGATATCACTATGCAGAATCTGTCTCCATGTCCTTCCCATCAGGTACTTACACACATTGATAAAATCCCCCCCTGCGCCTTCTCCTCTGGAGGCTAAGCAATTCCCACTCCCTCAGCCTCCCCTCATATGGCAGGTACTCCAATCTCTTAACCTTCTTAGTGGCCCTTCCTGAAACACTTTCTTTTTCCTATTTCTATGAAATTCCTATATCACCAAGGCTCTTAAATGATCATAGCAATCTTGTGATTACAACTCCATCTTGCATTTACATCCGAATAGTTGATAGATTTACTATATTTCTGACTACCAGATATCCTGCACTTTTTTTCTACAGGAATTTCTTCCCAAGAGGCAACTCCACCTTGCAGTTCCCTGAGTCTGTCCAAGTCCATCATTTTCTATTCTCATTATTTCCTCTCCTGTAACATAATAAACAAGAAATACTGGTGTCTCTGTATCTACTCAAGAAGCATCAGCATGTTATTGCAACAGAAATGTTTTTAGGGAGGGAATCTTCTGGGTGTATTAATGTTCATATTAACCAGGGGAAGAGCCTGTATGAGCTTCATTTCAACTCTGCATGGCACCCCTAAGGACAAAACCCTTTCTTACCTGGGAATCCTGGGAATCCCCTTTCTCCAGGGGGGCCTGGAATAGAAATACCAGGCCATCCAGGTTCACCTCTGTCTCCTTTTGGTCCAAGTTCTCCTGAGTACCCTGGGGGCCCTGTTTCACTTTGACCTTTATAGGAAAACAATTATGTACATAAAGCTTACAGTAAGTACAAATACAGATGTGCATAATAGAAATACCAGCTGCAGATGTTCCTCCTTGCAAGGGTTGCCTAGTACTGTTTTTCTGGTTCTCTCTTGGAAGCTGGATAGAGTTTTGTTGAATCTGGCCCTGATTCATCTCTTTCAAAGAAAGTAATCTCTTTGCTTTAATGCTCTTCTTCAGGGGTTATTTTATATGGTGTCATTATTGTCTGTAAGTTGAAATGTAAACTGATTGCATGGTCCTAAATTTAATTTTCTATCAGCATAGATTTGTAATCTCTAGATAGATGGTGAGCACTGTTTTTTAATACTGCTTCAAAAGCACCTTTTGAAAGTTGTAAATAGATCAGCATGAGTGAAGTCCAGGTTCTTAAGTTTGTGGCACACTGCCTGTGGACTTTAGTGGGTCTGGGATTTCATAAGTCTCCTTTTAATTTGTTAGTTCTATCTTTTACATATAAAAAACTTGGAGATTTGGCTGTCCTTTGAATCATCTGCACTGAACATTTTCATTTTATAAACAGCCTTGAAAGGTTCCAACAAAACTATGAGTAATGGAAGTTTAAGTTTTCCCCACAAATAACTGCAGGTGTGTCATTAGGCATACTTTAGATTGTTTGAAACTCTAGTCTGAGCCTTAATGATATCTTCTGGACAAGGCAAGTGTCAAAATAACGTGCATCATTCATTGCACATTCAAGCATTTAAGAGAATATTTTCTGTTCCACATTGCTATTTCTCTTCTTTACCTGGAGCTCCTGTAGAACCTTTTTGACCTTTTAGTCCATCCAAGCCATCCAGTCCGGGCAGTCCAGGAAGACCTGAGAGGTATTACAAGCATGACTAGGTGCCACAATAATCCTTTACAGTCACAATTAAAAATTATGTTGGTTTTGTTCTGACAACACGTTCTGGATCAAGACAGGGTATTTGCTGAATTTGATTCTTACTGGCAACCAAAGATGAGATCACATTGCACTTGAGTGCAGTCTTTTTGGAAAGGAAAATGTGAGAAATCTGAAAATAACAATCATAATACAGCTTCACATCAAGGCAATCGGAAAACACACCTTTTAATCCTTTAGGTATTTCTATACTGCAGCTAGCAGCAGGAAGCTCAGGATGGGATAATTTACTCTATAATGAACCTTGTGTCTGTGGCTAGACTACTACTGCTACATGTGATTAACTAGTCCAAAGTTAGCTGTGTTATCACATGACGGGGTGACTGGGATGCAGGCACTACCTCAAGTATCTGTAAAGCTGTAACTTCTTTACAGCTTCTGTTCCAAAGCTAAGGGCAATTTAATCTAGTTGCAGTAGAAAGAAGCTAAATTTTCACTTGTCTTCTTTTCCCTGGTCCTGCAGTCTTCACACAGAAAACTATGCTCTTCTCCATCACACTATTACAAGAATTCTTTAAACTGAACAGCACAAAGTCTTTGAAGACAAGAAATCTGTAGTTGAGACCTATGCTGACATGTGATATTATAGAGCAGCTTTGTCACTAGTGATGTTCACTAAATGACCAGATCACAGGCTGGGTGTTCATGGTAGTCAGATGTAATTTCGCTTTATAATCTGTGTTTTTTTGAAAATTGCTAAAACACAATAAATAAAAACATAGATAGCATTTTTTAATCCATTTTTAAAAGCTGAACTAATCTGAAACTGTGTTTATTGCTTGCAGTGGAAGGTAAAAATATCTCCATATCATTAGCACATTATGGTTTCTTAAATTTTGTAGGTGAAGTATCAGATGTGAAGACGTACGCTTATTAAATGCAGATTGCAGCCTATCACCTGGTGATAGGAACAGATTTGGCAAAGCTGATGGGTCATTTGGTAGTAACAGGTTTCAAAGAGGTTTCAGACAGAGGGAAAGACTTGGGATGCTTCTTGCTCCAGAGGGGGACAGATTAGAGTGGACACTGATCATCAAGAAGTTGAACAATACTGCCAGTGCCTATTCCTGTGTCTTTTCCACCTCTGCTGCTTATCTCTGCCTAATTTCCTTCCCTGCCAGTTCCTCTTCCTGCCATGTAGGATTCCCAGCCCAGCTGCAGTGTTTTTTTTCCACAAGTCTGAATTATCTTCCTGTCTGTCTCCTTTTCGCTGTCTAGCTGCTTCCTGGAGTAGATGTAGGTTCTCTTGTTTCAGTTCCTGGGCTTGATCCCAGTGTGTCCTGCAGCACACAAATCTGCTGTTTGTGCACAACATGAATCATGGGAGAATGTATTGCTCTACTTAAGCACATATGAATGGATGTATTTTTTAAAGTTTATAAACTGGTCAAATTTGGCAGGAACAAATTGTTGTAGGAACAGAAACACGAATGCCCTTCATCAACCGCTTTACCAGTGACATATGTAAAGGTTCCTAGTTCAAAGAGGGGTCATGTGAGAAAGGAAAAATAAAAGGACAGTAGAGTTCTCTAACAGACACAATAAAAATAATATCCCATAGTTTTGTTCTCAGAAAGTGATAAATTATTTTAGTTAAAATTTAACAAAGTAATGAAAAGAAAGGGGGGGAAAAATAAACACCTCAACCTGCAGCAAACACTGGTCTAGAAAAATTTTAAATCCATAAGATTGTTGGAAAACCTGCAAGACATTGATATGTACTCTCTATGTAATCCCATTTATAAGACAGGATACTGGCAATCCAACCTGTAGTATCTTCTGTGCCCATAATTAACTGCTCTTTACCTTTTCATGGCATTCTAAATTTCAGTCCTGCTTTCTGTAGCCTGCTTGTGCTTTGGGCATGTTCCCATTTTCAAATTTATGTAGAGTTGCATGCCAATTTGGGGAATTTAACAGTGGTATTTTAAAATTATTATGAACTCCTAACTATTTTTGGCACCTAGGTCACCATTTAAAACTTTTTTGATCTTTAGCTCATTCAGTCGAGATTGATGTCTTGGTTTACTTGCTTTCCAGGGAATTTCTGTCATATTTGCCAACAATCCATTATAATATCAGCACTTGTAATTCTAGATTTTTGGATTGTATAGTCCCATACTTCTAGGTACAGCTGAATTGGCTGACCTGTGTATGAACCACTGTTTCTGTATTTTACAACCCAATTCAGCTTCTATTCAGACAAGTAATTCTGCTGATGGTCTTAATATTACTTGCTTCATCAAGGATTACTCACACCAGTAAGGCTTGCCAGGCTAAGCCCTTAACTAGTAAAACTATCTCTGTAATAAAGAAAATGTGATTATGCTTTAGTAGATGCCTTTTAATTTTTTTTTTTTAATCTAAAAGTTCTTCAGGCACAAGACATTCAGTGTCAATGAGAAGCAGTTAGACTAACAAGGCTGTGTACTTAGCTATGAACAGCCAATTAACCATTTCATTTCTAATGCTAGCAACAATATTTATTTAAAACAGTGTTAAGATTTATATTCTCCAATTGGAATACAAATTCCATTGAGTTTTCATGACTGGGTATACTTTCAAAGCTGTTAGCCTTCTTTTCAACTATGCTGGCAATATTTAGAATCCTAAGGCTTAGCAGGCAACTTGGTCTCAAATGAATTGCCATTTGGAACTGAACTTTTCCCTCTGCAGCACGTGTGTTAATTTGTTATGCTTCTTGCGCAGGACTTGGGATAAGTTCTGCACAATATAGAAAAGAAGTGTCTTACCACTTACAGCAAGAAGGAAAGAGTTTATCTGCTACTAAGAAGTTTTCAGCAGAAGAATGCTTTTTTTTTTTTTTTGACACCTCTCAATTCAGACATCCCTGTCACTGCAGATCTCTCTCTTTGTTACAGCAAATACTGTTGCAACAATAAAAAGTTCTCTTACAAATTATGCACCAGCAAGGAGTGCTATCTGTCATGATAGTTTACATCAGCACCACTTATTTACTGCAAGCAATCATAAATGGTTTCCATTTTTCATTTAAATTTGCAATAGTTTCTTATAAACCTTTTCAATATTTCCTTAGGCTGAGTTTGAAAAACTGAATCTATTGTCATCTCTAACCGTTTGTCATAGCCACAAGTATTACTTTACTATGATTTCTGTATATGGTCCTGTCCAGGAACTGGTTATAAAGCACACTATAACAGAGAGAGGATACAAAGCACATAGTTGATTACCTTTCTTTATGAAGTACTAATATAACATAATTGCAATATATCATTCTAAGTGTAGCAGAAGTTAATAATGTTCTCCAACAAAAACAACTGTACAGATGAACTGGTGTTCAATTTAAACAGAACAATCATTGTGAGAAGTATAAGTTAGAATTTGAAGGAAACATTTCTATGTTAAATCCACCAAAAATCAGTTTCAGGAAAACAAAACAACAACAAAGCCAACAACAAAAACCAACCCAAATTATCTTATCAGAATTTGTTAAAATAAATTTGTAAGACAAAACTCTCCATGGCTTTCTGCTGGTTTTGTAGAGTAACAGTGGCACTCCATGGTGAAAAGTAGAACACAGCATAATTGAAGTGAAAGCGAAATGTGAATTACTGCAAAGTCCTTTTTCTTTCCTTAACTTCTGCTATCAGTTACATCAGCTGAGCCAGAGTCTGTTTCTTCCTCCTTCCTCACTCATTTTAGATTGTAGCCGTTTTCTGAGGTAGCATTTATATTAATTTTCAGTGATGGGAACTGACTTAATTATTCTAATAGTTTAGGAGAACACGGAATCAAAATCCTGCTCACAGTTAGGTCTTTTCCATTTTTCACTACTAAAAGGGTATTTATGTTTGGTGCTGTTACATTACCAGAACAACTCCACTGTATACTGTTTACCTTTTCTGCCTTGGGATCCAGCTAATCCTTTCAATCCTGTAGGTCCCAAAATTCCATGTCTCCCTTTTTCTCCAGGTTCTCCTGGCAATCCCTGAGGACCTGTAGCTCCTGAGAGTGGAAAAAAAAAAAACCATGTGAATATGCACATCTATTAAAACTACTGATTTTTTTTTTTTCCCCAGGCTACACAGCACACTGAGTTAATCAAAGGTACCTAAAAGTATATAGCAATGTATGAAGAATTGATGGAACTTGCTCTTTGAGACTGAGCAGACTATTGCTGCTGTCTATAGGTACTAGATACTGAAGTAGCTTTCAATACACACCTTCATATGATCTCTGATTTTCTCTAGCCTCCTCCACAGAGGTGCCTCCTCAGCTGCATTTTCCTGTTCCATATCTCTTTTGAGCTGTTACATGGCATTATTTTTTTAAACTTTGGCATTACCTGGAAATCCAGGTTTTCCTGGGTATCCAGGGTCACCCTTGGATCCTGGTCTTCCAGGTTGCCCATGGATACCTGGCGAACCCTTGTCTCCTGGGAATCCACAGAGTCCTTGAAGGAAAAAAAAAAAAAAAAGAAAATCTAGCATTTATTTGTTTCAAGTTGCCCATTCTTCATCTCATAAGTTTAAAAATATAAAAGTTCAGCAAGGGGTTTCTTGACTAGAAAAATAATTTTATTCAAATACTTCAGATCCTTGCATCTATTTATTAGTAATGAATTACACTGATCTCTCTGGTGATATCCGAAAGAGCAGAAATGGCTAGCAAGATACAGCTAAGCCAGGTTTTATTCTGGTAGGTATTGGTATGTTCATCAGTGCTGTACTAGATGACAGTAAACTCTACTTCCTATGTTCATGCTAGCCATACTGCCCATTTTGATGCCTTTCCAATCCCTGGGTTTCTAACTATAGAAAATACTGCTCAGTATACACAGGAAGCAGAGATAAATCTCCGCTAACAAAACTTACAGAAAATAAATTCTTAAGTCTGATTTTTTTTTTCCAATCAGACAGAGATACCTGGTAATCCTGGATCTCCCGGAGGCCCTTTTCGACCATGTGCACCAAGCAGAGGAGTTGGGTCGCCTCTCTTGCCTGTTGAAGTACAATGACTTTCATTTCATACAAGTATCCTTTTCATCCACAAAACCAAAGCTGGACAATTTTATAAGATCAGATAATTTACTCATGTTAACAGCTATAAAAGGGACTGAGAGAACATGGAGAGAAAAGTGGTTTTGGCACATGCAAATTATCTGCTAGCTCATCTTGTCTTGAAGTACTAACTCAGTTTGTGTTTACTATAACTCCTGGCAGTATTCATGCAGTGTTCAAAAATTATGGGAACTTTCCCAATACTGATAGCATATACTGAAATTGAAAGATAGTGCATAAATTCCCCATGACACTTTATTTAACAGAGAGAACACCTTATGTAGGTTTATGAGGTTATGCAAAATCAATATAGTGTGAGTGTTTATGCATTAAAGACATTTCAGGGACTAGCTGGGAGTGTTTAGCCAACACTCCTTATTTCTGTCTGTGTTGAAATTCCTGTTTATCACAGAATCAGTAATTCTGAGCAATTTTGCCTTACATTGTCTGTACAAAGGTCTGATCCCTCCTACTTATTCATGCTGTCTCCATGTTTGACTTTGCTGTGAGCAGTTAAGAGAAATATCAATTTCAAGTGTTGCTAGAAATCTCTTGCCATAGCAATCCCCACCCTTACTGGCTATTTCCTGCTTTAGTCTTACGGATAACTTTTCCAGGACATTTGTCTTGAATACATTTCATAAAAGTTATCAAGTATTGTTCTTTACTTTTTTTTTTTTGTGGGAATATATTCCCTGGCTGAGAAGGTCTTGAATTTTTGAAGAAATAGAAAATATAACTGAGAAAAGACTTTCTCATGTCCCTTTAATGCTTTTTTCCAGGCAATGATTTAATTTTGTTATTTATTAGTAATGAAATCCTGCTCCAAGAAAATTTGGAATATGATGGATGACATCATTTTGGTTTTCTTTGAAACAATTTTAAAAATCTGAATATTGTAGATAAGTTTTTCAGAGTAATCTCTACTTATGTAAAAAACAATGTACAGAACTTCAACTTTTCAGCTGAATAATTCTGCATCCATGGGTATGAACTCAGCCTGATTTGCTACACTACACTTTCAGAAGTTCTAAGAATTCAAAAATTATAGCCTGGAAAACATTGGAAAATAAGTGATATAAAAGAAATTATAAATCATGTTGGAATATTTAAAAATTCTACATATCTGCATAATACCATATGATAATACCCTAATGATGGCATTTTCTCTTATTTGATTTGACAAATTTTAGAGTGGATTTTTATATATGTTTGATGGAATTATTAAACTATGAAATTTGTCAGATATTTGTCTTCTAAATTAGTAAGACCTACTTTAAAAGGAACAAAATGTTAAAGAATATACTGAAATGCAAATTTTGTCTTCAGGTAAGTCAGACTTGTTTCTCATGACATTCATGTTTTAATTATTTTCACTTCTGTCCTGTTGTCCCTTTTCTAGTGAGTACTCGCTGTCTATCAGACCATATACATCCTAATAATACTGCTCTTTTTGAAAACGTGTCTATATAATTTCATTACCTTTAGATCCTTTTGGGCCAGTCAGTCCTGGGTTTCCAGGGATTCCTGGTAAGCCAACGTCACCCTGATTTTTTTAAAAAACAAACGCTTGACATAGGTGTAGCAGGAATGATCTATAAGAGCATTTGTTTCTCTTACACTGGTAAACAGACCAGCAGTCAATATGAATAGCAAAATTGTATCTTAAACTCAACAGAAAAGCATGCTGTTTTGTTACATGTCTAGCACTGACCACTAACACTTCCAAGAAACTGTAGATTAGACTTGCTAATCATTTTGAATTTGTGCTTTTATAGTTTTTGCTAACTCTTGGCTTGAACTGCTTAAATTCCCCACAGATGGCTTGAGTAATTTGATTTAAAAGGTACCATAAAAATGTACCAAATATTGTTGTATGTTACCCAAAATTTACTATAAACATTAACCAGAAATATGATGTGATATAATAGTAAAAATCTAAAGATTTCTCTGTTTTTCCTTTTGAATAATGACCTATAATCAGCAAAACACAGATTACCTCTTCAAAGAAATATAAGACAAGCCAAGCAAAGATATGTTCCTTTACCGAAAAACCAACTGTGCTTTATGCTTCATGTAATCCCACTGCCTGTGTATCTAGCATACAAGCCAGTGAAGAATTTTACCTTATAACCGTATGTTATATGTGCGGTTTTATAGATTCATTCTTGAGCAGTATTACTTGCTTGGGTTCTGTTTGGTGCAAGCTGTCAGTATGGGCACAGAAGACCTGGTTTGTCTTGTCTATTGGCTTGGCTGCTCCACATAGCAAGATACGAAGAAGTAGCTATATATATATTAACTTCATACTTGTGCTGTTGCTCTGTTATGATCTCTGCAATAAGTGATTTGTCAATCCAATCCGTTCTTAGGAATAATGCTTAAGACTTGGTTGTGCATTCATTTTTTGCCCCATTAATAAGTGCAGTGTAGCCCAGACTTCTACCAAGTGGCAATATAACAAAATCACAACATGCAGCTGGGAGAGAGGGAGGGGAGAGGTCTTTGTTGACTGACTACAGTTCCTTCTAAAATGTAATCCAAGTACAGAAGTATTGCATTAAGGAATTTACTTTTCCTATTATACTGACAGTTCCTTCTCAGGAGGAATATCTAATGGGTAAGTACAATAGAAGTACCCTTCATAATATTTCTTGGAGGCAAAAGATAACTGCAAAGTCCAGGACATTTCACTACCACTTTGCTTACCTGGTCACCTGCTTGTCCTTGAAAACCTGTAATTCCTTTAAAGCCTTTTGGTCCTGGGAAACCCCATGATCCTGGAAACCCCATCAGTCCAGTGTCACCATGGTCACCTGGCAGTCCTGGGACACCATTCTTCCCTGGAAATCCTGGGGTGCCTCTGAAACCAGTATTGCCTTTTTCACCTGAAGGTTATTGTAGAACAAGATAGTGACCAATACAGTCAAGCCATTATTTGACACTTATTTTGAATATGTCTATGCTTTCACACTTTGTGTATTGCCTTAGTAATTGTCCAAAGAAACTAGCCTGCTGGTTTAAGAATCTATAAACAGGCTGCTGGATGTTACTGCAGCTATGAGTCCAAACCTGTGAAAAACACTAGTGATTTATATCAGATGAATGTGTGTGTATGCAGGGCTTTATTTTATGAATTTACCTCTTTCACCTCTAAATCCGTTCTCACCAGGAAACCCTCGTTCTCCCTTTTGTCCTTTCTCAAGACGGATGTTAACACTGCCGCTGTCTCCTGGAGGCCCTCTTTCACCTTTGAACCAAACAGATGGAATGTAAGTAAATCCTCATGAGTGACTTGTCTTGAAAAAAACTTGACAAATCTGAAGTTGCAGATGTGTACAGGGCAAAATTCAAGGTTTGTCCAAATAAGTGATCTTACTCTGATTTAGTGGTAAATGCACCTGTTGATCTGAGTGAAATTAATTTTTCTTTGGTTATTTTTCATTATGCATTCGTAACTGAGATAACAGGATTTAGTACTTAGTATCTCTGAAAACAGAAGTAAATATACCCTCATAACAAGAAGAAAAAGTAAATATATTTCTAACACAGTAGTAGCAAAACAAAATATAGCAGTAACTTAACTAGAGAGTGAAGCAGATTTTTACCAACCTTTTATTCCCATATCCCCACATTCTCCAGTAGGCCCAGGTGGACCCACTTTTCCTTCTTCACCTTTTACACCGGAGATTCCCATTGGGCCTTGTGTTCCTGGGAGTCCTGGGAATCCTTGGGGTCCTTGAATCCCTTTGCTTCCTGGTAATATTAAATGCTTTATTTACATATTCAGTCTGCTAAGCTGTTGCTGTCATATTCTAAGGAAGAATATAAAGCAAAAGGCAGAAAGTTTAGAAGGCCTTCTTAGGAAATCACCAAAGCTAGAGAAGCAATAGTTGGAACATGGCTTCATGCCAAGATCAGGCTTGCCTTGAAATCCAGACTGCCTTGAAGCAAACATCATCCCCTCCCTGCTGCCGCCCCTGGAGATTTAGGCTACACTTACTACTAAAGCAGTTATCCCCAACACATTTTCAACACAATGCACAGCTAAGACACCACCAGATTTTGCATGGGACTACTGGAAATCACAACTCCTACTCTCCAGATGAGACAAGAGAAAAACAGGATTTTGCTACAGTTACTCAGAATAACTGCCCATTGTCTAGTGATGATTTGGGACCAAGGTCACATTTTCTATAAGTATTAGACATAATGAGAAGCTATTTCTCCACTTACTCATAGAACCATAGAATAGAATCACAGGGTCGTTCAGGTTGGAAAAGATCTTTAAGATCATCAAGTCCAACTGTTCACCTAGCACAGCCAAATCCACCATTAAACCATGTCTCTGAGCACCACATCTATGCATCTTTTAAATACCTCCAGGGATGGTGACTCAACCAGTTCCCTGGACAGCCTGTTCCAATGCTTGACAATCCTTTCTGTAAAGAAATTCTAATATCCAACCTAAACCTCCTCTGGCATAATTTGAGGCCATTTCCCCTTGCCCAGTCCCTTGATACTTGGGAGAAGAGATCAACACCCACCTCACAACAACCTCCCTTCAGGTGGTTGTAGAGAGTGATAAGGTCTCCCCTGAGCTTCCTTTCTTCCAGGCTAAACAATCCCAGTTCCCTCAGCTGCTCCTCAGAAGGCTTGTGCCATAGACCCTTTGCCAGCTTTGTTGCCCTTCTTTGAACACACTCAAGCACCTTAATGTCTTACTTGTTTTGAGGGGCCCAAAACTGAACAGTGCCGAGTACAGGGGGACAATCACTTCCCTAGTCCTGCTGGCCACACTATTTCTGATACAAGCCATGACGCTCTTGGCCTTCTTGGCTCCCTGGGCATACTGCTGGCTCATATTCAGACAACTATCAACCAACACCCCCAGGTCCTCCTCTGCAGAGCAGCTTTCCAGCCACAATTCCCCAAGTCTGTAGCGTTGCATGGCGTTGTTGTGACCCAAGTGCAGGACCTGGCAGTTAGCATTGTTGAACCTTGTTACAACTGGCCTCAGCCCATCAATCCAGCCTGTTCATAACCCTCTGTAGAGCCTTCCTTCCCTCAAGCAGACCAACACTCCTGCCCAACATGATGTCATCTGCAAACTTACTGAGGGTGCACTCGATCCCCTTGTCCAGATCATTGATAAAGATATTAAACAGAACTGGTTCCAGTACTGAGCCCTGGGGAACACCACTTGCGGCTGGCCACCAACTGGATTTAACTCCGTTCACCACAAGGTTTTGGGCCTGGCCATCCAGCCAGTTTTTTACTCAGTGAGGTGTACATCCATCCAAGCCATGAGTAGCCAGTTTCTCCAGGAGACTGCTGTGGGAAATGATGTCAAAGGCTTTAGTAATGTCTAGGTAGACAACATCCACAGCCTTTCCCTCACCTACTAAGCAGGTCACTTTGTCATAGAAGATCAGGTTAGTCAAGCATGACCTGCCTTTCATAAACCCATGCTCACTGGGCCTGATTACCTGGGGGGATCCCATCTGGCCCCAGAGACTTGTGTGTGTCTAAGTGGTATAGCAGGTAACTAACCATTTCCCCTTAGATTATGGGGGCTTCTTTCTGCTCCCCATCCCTGTCTGCCAGCTCAGGGGGCTGGGGACCTCTAGAACAACTTGTCATAGTATTAGACTGAGGCAAAGAAGGTGTTAAGTACCTCAGCCTTTGTTATTGTGTTTCCTCCTGCATCCAATAAAGGATGGAGATTCTCCTTAGCTCTCCTTTTGTTGCTAATGTATTTATAGAAACACTTTTTTATTGTCTTTTATGGCAGTAGCCAGATTAAGTTCTAGCTGGGCTTTGGCCGTTCTAATTTTCTCCCTGTATAACATCACAACATCCTTGTAGTCTCCCTGTGTTGCCTGCCCCTTTTTCCAAAGGTCATAAACTCTCCCTTTTTCCTGAGTTCCAGCCAAAGCTCTCTGTTCAGCCAGGCTGGCGGTCTTCCCTGCCAGCTCATCTTTCAGCACATGGGGAAGGCCCGTTCCTGGGCCTTTAAGATTTCCTTCTTGAAGAGTGTCCAGCCTTCCTGGACCCCTTTGCCCTTCAGGACTGCCTCCCAAGGGACTCTCTCAACCAGTCTCCTAAACAGGCTAAAGTCTGCCCTCCAGAAGTCCAAGGTAGCAGTTTTGCTGACCCCTCTCCTCCAAGAATTGAATATTCATCAGCATAGTCACAGACTGCATCAGTAAAGGAGATAGTCTGGATGTAGTAGAAAGTACATTGTTCTTATTACAGCATATTATAACAACAACCTATTACGATTAATCAGGAAATAATATATGGAAATATGTCAGTGTTGTAAAACAACTAAAGCACCAGGATGCACCGAGATGCATCAAACTATTTCCATCCCTTTGTTTGTATTATAAGGGAAAGAACAAAGGATGCTATTGTTACTGCCTCTACCCTGTTGCAGGGTCATATTCTCAAAGCTAGAAAGGGAGGAAGGAGCAAAGTACTTTATAGCTTTAACAGCAGTAGAAATAGCTCCCTCTACAAGAGATGTTATAGATGAGGTTGTTTGCAGGATGTTTAACATACCTGTTTGTCCTGGGAAACCAGGTGGTCCTTTATTGCCTGGAAGTCCTGGAAGGCCTCGGGAGCCTGGAGGACCTGGGGGACCTTGTGAGCCAGGAGAGCCTTTGAGACCTTTGACTCCAGGTGGCCCGGCTAGGCCCCTGTCTCCCCTCTGACCTTTAAAACCTGGTAAGCCTGAGAAAAAGAGCTTTCATCTGTGTATGTAAATGCAGGAAAAGCATTCAGCAATTGTATCTAAAAAGTAGAAAGTGACAGATTTTGGTAAAAATATGAATGTCATCAGACATGGCAAAATAACTTGGAAACTTTGCTACCATGCTGGCTCTTCCTAAACTTTTCACTAGTGAGAGGCATATCAGTAGAAGCACCCTGTGAAAAATCAGTACTAATTTGTAAATACTGTTGATATATATATAGCTCCTAGCTCTCCCTAAATACCACTTCAATTTAAGAACAAGAAAGATTAAAGTATCACAGTAATGATAGTAGTTGAGTTAATTTACTCAGGACAACAGAACAAGAGGTAACTCTTCCATTTATTACTTGACAGTGAACACACTCTGATTTGGCCAGCTAAGGAACAGTATGAGAATGGAAGGAAAGTTGGGAAACATCTGGGATGCACACTTGTACATTCCTTGAGTTTAAGGAAATGTGAAAGATGTAATGTACACCCCCACTAATGAGCAGCCACCATGTAAATATTTGTCATGTCAGCCACAAAAATAATGTGATTAAATCTGCTAGAAAAGATGCGTAAAGCTTAGAGCTGTGTTGTGTACCTTGATGTCCTGGCAGGCCCATGACACCTCTGAGTCCTGGTGGCCCTGGTAAGCCTGTGTCACAAGGTGGACCAGGGAAGCCTGGACAGCCTGGTGCTCCTATATCACCTTCTGGGCCTCTAAAACCTTTGGCACCTGGAAATCCTGGAGTACCAGGCTGTCCTGGAAACAAAAAAAAAAAACATTTTAAAATGTTTTACTTCGACTACTCACCATCTCTCAGAATTCCTAATTGTAATTTTGAAATGTACATGTTCAGTTATTGTAATATCTTACTTATCCTCTAGTTTTTGCATAGTTTGTGAAAACTGATGCTTTTCAGCAGTTTAGAATTGGCTGTTGTGGAGATCGTCTTTCTTTAAGGAACAAATATGAATTCACCTCTCACCTATAGGCAAGGATGACTTTATGGCACAAAAAGCTAGCCTCTGATGCAGAGGAGCAGAAGGGAAGGAGCTCACTGGCCTGCAACAGCTACACAGCACTGGGGTCAGTTCTATAGGTATTCCCAGCACAGAAGGGTGTGTGTGTCTGCTTAGGGCTGGGCAAAAGGAAGACATATAAAAGGAAACAGCAATATCTTCTATGAAGTGGGAAGGAAGTGCTACTGTGGAGACGTCTGCATCAACCAACAAAACTTCCCTGAAATGAGGAGTGTAGTGCCCAAGATATTGAGGATTATATTTTATAACTCTGGGCAAAGAAATTTACCCCCCTCTCCCTGATCGTTCTCCCACTTTTTGCCAGTCTTTTCAGATTTGAGTAAACAATCTGAGGCAGGGACTATCTGTGTGGCAGAGCAGGAGGCCCTAAGCACAGATGGCCGCTTAGCAGCCAGTAACAGTAGTAAGAATAGGAAGCTGCACTGATAATCGATGGACTGGGTAAAGGCATCTTCCCCTTCCTGCAATGCAGATTTCCCCAGTGGCTGATTGACATTAACTGTAAAAATGTAAACATAAAAATAGGGCATACCATTCCCAGTCACCCTTAGTGATCCAGGAAAGAGTAAATTCTGTCTGAATCAGGACCAGTTTTGCTCACATTTTCTCTTTTGAACACATGGAAATGCTTCATAGAAACTGGCTCATACCTCGAAACCCAGGAATGCCTGGATCACCCCTTGATCCTTGTGCACCAGGGGGTCCTGGCAGTCCCCTGTCACCTGGGATTCCTGGAGGACCATATGTGGTATCACCTGGAACACCTTTCTGACCATCTATGCCAGGTGGACCTGGAGGGCCTTTTTTACCATCAACTGTAGATCCTCTTTCACCTTCATCACCAGGATCACCAGCTTTGCCTCGAAAGCCTGTTGATAGGATTTTAAAATTCAAATAGGGCATAAATGAGAAGTTTTATGTTGTTTTTAATTTTCCGTCTAAAACCGTGGAGTATTATAATGCGAATTTAACCAGAATTAAATTATCACTTTGCAAGGAAGACTAACATCATACATTTAATTTCAGGTTTCTCATTTACAGTTAATGATACATGAGGATGGAAGGGGGCAGTTGTTCCTGTGGGAAGTGAGAGTGGCATTTTTGGGGCAGCATCTGTCTTGTGTACTGCACTCTTGTCCAGTTCCATCCCTTTGCTAAAATGATACTAATTGTTCTCAGTTCTCTGAGAATATTTCCTCTCTGGACACTGAACTTCAGGTTACTGCAGCACCTGCAATGCTGGAGGAAAGGACGGGAAACTGGTAAAGATTCCTCTTCCATTAGCTTTTGCTGAAATGCACTTCCTGTTCTATTCTACCATGGTAGCTATCTTACCCTGCCTGTATGTATGCATTACAGCTTGACCAGGAGATCTCCTGGACTAAGAAAAGCACAATTCACCTTCTGGCCCAGGGATTCCTGCTCCTGGCCTGCCTCGATGGCCTTTTTGCCCATGAAAGCCATTTGGCCCAGGATGACCGGGGAGTCCTTTTAAACCCTTTGGTCCTGGAAACAGAAAGAAAGTATGTAAAAAACTGACAGAGCTCTAAAACGTGGGATCTAAGGAAACAGTATTGCATCTTTATCCCATACAAATTCATGTACTTTGAAGACAAGTGGATTTCATCTGCTTCTAACATTTTGGGCAAGACCTACCACCCGTCTCAACCAAATACACGGTTGCTGTTCTTCTAAATGGTTTGTTCCCTAATCCATAAACAGCAGACTGTAAATCACCAGATTTAAATTAGAAAAGAAAAAAATTTTAATGTTACAGGTCATCAACAGTATTAACTTAGTGAATGACAGGTGTCAACTCAAATCCTTGCATTCTCCTGTGCTATATGCTACTTCTGCAATGGTGCAGATGAGCTCAATATGCTATTCCTTGTTCTTTTGTGTCTATAAATGTAGGTACCACCCACAGTACTGATGTCAGGGAGCTGTGTAACATCATATTAAGCAGCTTGAAAATCCAGTGTCTCCAGTTGTTCTGGTCAGGATTTTCTGGGGTATTTCAAATGTTCTGCAGGTGATCACAAGCAACATTTTGCAAGTTCCTGGATGACTTCTTTGAATTTAAATAAAGTTGAACAAGTTGAAGTAATAGTAGTAAGTATTCAGATTTTAGGGCTCAACTGCAACTTGCCATGAGCAATAGCTTTAGAAATTACAGACTTGCAGCATGTCTTTGCCTCTCACACCTTTTTTTTCCCGGTATCCAGATGTGCATATTCTAGTTCTTATCTGACTCCAGCCATCTGTGTATTTTACAGACTCTCTTATGCATTTTAATGGAGGCAGGACAGAGGTCCAGGCTGCCTTTATTTAGTCATTTCTATGGAGGCAGCCTGCACACCTTCGATCGGGCAAACTGCAGCTGTCTGGCCCTTGATTCTGTTAGGTTAGTATATTCCTGTGTAGGTGCAGTTTTACATTTTGAGACATGTATCTGCTGAAAAACTAGAATAGTGTATCTTTTTAGGATAGCTTATTTTTTTTAATTAGCAACTTAAAGCTCCATTTCAATTAAAACCAAAAATTCTCCCATCTGTAAACATACCTTGAACACCTTTAAAACCTGGGGGACCTGGATTTCCAGGGTATGGTAGTGTAATGCAGACAGTCTCACCTGAAGCAAGAGGGAGAAAGAAACTGGCCGATTTGATTTTAGAATAAATGGAGTCTGAACGTTTAGTGTAATATTTCTGTGGAACTAACCAACTAGATGTGCAAAGGTACAGTTTATGCACATTTTTATTTCCATATTACTTAAGGTTTGATGGAGAATATTAAAATATATTTTTCTTACTACTGTTATACTCTTAACTCCAGAAAATAATTCCTCTGGTAGTGTGCAAGTGGCACTTTGCAGGTTTCAGGCCCCTAGCCATATTTCCACTAGTGTCCACTGCCAAATGCTGACAGTATCATACCTTTCAATGGCCAGATTTCACATGACCACTGAGCTTGCCAAAATTATTTTTCACTATAAATGAATAAAACTGTATGTAATATATACAAAACTGTAATGGATGCTACCAAACATGTATTTTGTTATTTGGTTCTTACTGTAAACATTCAAAATTACCTTTCTGGCCCTTTGGACCAGGTGGCCCAACACTACCAGTATCACCGAAGTCCCCAGGGCTACCTCGGACTCCTGGAGGGCCAGGAAACCCCAAACCCGGCAATCCCATCTGTCCTTTTACCCCAGGAAGTCCTGGAACCCCAGGGAATCCTTTATCACCTGGCAGTGGTACTCCAGAATTGCCCTAAAAGGAATAAATTGTTGATAAGAAATAACAAGACCTAATTTATTTCTTCTCTTTAATTATGAAAAGCCATGTTAGAGAATTGTCTGGAGAAACCACTCTTCCACAATTAAGTGACTACATGGATGATATTAGTTTTAAATATTCAAAGTCAATAGGAACAAAGGGTAGAGTTTTGTGGATGTTTTTTCTTCCTGATCCCATAATATCGGCACACAGTATATGCAGAAATTATATTCAGAAATACCAAAATAAACAGTTACTACTTCTAAACAAATAATTTTTCAACAGATAAAAACTATGATTTCTGATCTAGGCTAACATAGAATGATAAAATTGATTAATCTGATAGGAATTTGGAGTAGAATGGTATTTTTTCATTAAGTAGCTTGTCCTTCCATAAGACAACACATTAACTGAAATGGAAAAAAATTCTGAGTAAATCAAGCATACCTCAGCTCCTTTTTCCCCAGGCAATCCTAGTTCCCCGTCTCTGCCATCATTACCTCTTTGGCCTGGAAATCCTGGAACCCCAGTAGGACCTCTTTCACCTTTTATTCCTTAAAACAAATTGAAAAAAAAATAGTATAATATTTGCAATAGGTTTGTTTTTTTTTTTAATTTCTGCTCAGGTAGATGCTGGGTAACCATCCATCATATCTGTATGAAAATTTCCAGTTCTTGAATTCACATTTCTTAGTGAGGTATTTTTCGTTTAGGAAAGCAACATGTACTTGGACACCATGGAACAACTTGATCTCTCTGTAAAAGACATGTTTACAGGCACCACAAGAATGTGGCTTTTGTTCATGCTATATACAGAGTGAAAATATTTTGCTATTGAAATCAGTCAGAATTTTATTCTGGATTTCAGTGAAATTAGATATACCAATGCCATACGACGCAGAACATTTGCATCAATATTCCCAAAAGGTCCTTACTTTTTTCTTCCTTTACTTCTAGATTTCTCTTGCAATAATATTTATGAAAATGTAATTTTTGAATAAAGGACAATATAATTTTTCTAACCCAAAGATTCATTTTGCTGTGTTAAGAAATCCTTTGCAAATAAACAGCAAATGTTCTGCCCTGCTCCAACATCTGTAAACACACACAGGCATCCAAAGCTAAGCTAACTTTTCACAAACAATAAGATGGACAATCTTTTGTCTGAATAATTAGTTTAGCATTTCTAAGTTTTGCCATCAGATTGCTGTAGTTTGTTGTTCTCTGTTTCTTTTGCTTTTGCAAATTATAACCATAACTGTGGAGAGGTTTTGATCTATTTAATTACAAGAATTTCAGTTGTGCAACTGGTAGCCTATTGTTTCTCCTCAATGCCTGGTCAAGAGTAATTTTTAGAAATAGGAGCAGGAATCTGAATAGCCATTGAGATTTGAGTTTTTCCCAAGAAGGATGTTGGTGGTTTAAGTTGAGATAGCAGTTGGGATACTGGCATATGACACTTCAGAAAGTGGCTTCTGTACAATAATATTTCTTCATGCTTTCACAGTAATTGTATCCTGCTTAGTCTTTGCTATACAGATCTCTGTAAGACCCTGACTATCAATCACATGACATGAAAAGTCATTTGTTAGCTTCAATAACAAGCTGTTAAAACTGTTTTATGGTTCAACTATAAAGTGAAAACCACAAAACACTGTGTTGATCTTGTGTTTAGCAAGAAGAAAATGAACGAGAGAGTACCAAGAAAGCAGTTTGGATATATGTGACCTCTAGGCTTCAACAACTCGCTAAACTAATGACTTCATTAAAGAGAAGATAAATATGGTTTTCTCACACTATTGCCTAGGCATTGTATAGGAAATAAAAAGGCTAATGAAAAAATTTGTGTTTACCTTTTATTCTAACTCTTCCTGGATCACCTTTTTCTCCTTTTTCACCATGTTGTCCAGCAGAACCAGGTGTCCCCTTACCATTGACAAAAAAACAACAAAAACAAACAAAAAAGCAAAAAAGTCCCACCAAAAAGTTGTCAGTTATCTCCAGCAAGTAATCAATGTGGGGATGAAGGGGAAAATTAGGTACCTACCTCTTGCTCTTGCAGTGTTTCCCAAAACCAGACCAATAAAAGTAACATGCCAAAAAAACCCCACCTATCTCTTTTGACGTCTGTAGGGAGTTGTGTGAATGGCACCTGGCCGTTTCACCCAGACTTTGCCAAAGGCACAGATGCACAACTATAAGAAATTGTAATGCCAGAAGAATTGGATCCATGGCCATCTACAGCGGTGGCTATAAATGCAGGAATATTAAGTTGCGAATGATTCACCAACTCTTCCACTGCAGATATCAAGCCACAATCCACCAAGGCTACACAGGAGGGGGATCTCTGGAGTGCGGTGACTGCGGGATGAGGCTCTCTTCCCAGAAGTAAACACAGCACTAGGTAAGTGGTGCTTTTTTTGCTACGTGAAAGCCCACAAAGCTGCCAATAAAAATTTCATCTATATCTAGTTAGGTACCTGGTATTGTCAGAAGAATCTATGACTTGGCAGATTTAGAGAGGAAAAGAAGTGCTTTTCTATATTTTCATGCTGATTTGTACTCTCAGTTCTCCAAGCAGAGCGTGATTTGTATATCATCGTTGGTGAGGGTCTGATCTTGCAACAGTACATCTGGGTAAATATATTTTACCATGTGAAATTTACACAGTAGTAAAAGGTCACTGAGGTAGAAAAACTGCGGTATTTTTTAGCTGGTTTCCTCTGTTATTCAAAACCTTTCACCAAGAAATAACTGGAGAAAATATAATTTATAACATGATTTTAAATCATGACAATTGTAAAACAGGCAGGAGACTTCTGAAAAATGTGGCATATCTGACACTAGCAATGACTATTTGTTAAAATGTCCAGATCCTCAAGTTGGCAGTGACCAGTTATGAAAAGCAAAATGAGATGTTTGGGAAGAAAAGAGAGCAGAAATTGGAAAAAGTATACATATGTAGGAAATCCACTAGACCAAGCACTTCTGTATCAAAGTGAATTATTTCTTTGCAAACTGATTCCTTTGTACTTTTTTCTCACTTAAATAATCTAAGAACACCAAAGTGTTCAGGATAAGGCTTCAAGCTTTACTTCAGAACCACAAGGGCTAAAGCACACTTTCAAAAGTAACAAAAATATCAAAATCTCACATCATCCACTCAGGTAATAGGATTTTAAGAAAAGAAAAATAAAAACAAATGCAAAGCTTGTATTGGAACCAGTATAACAGAGCCTCTCTACCTCCTTCCTTCAGTCTCACAATTGTTTTAGTTTTTTTTTTTTTTTTCATTTTGAAATAAAATGTTCTGGAAACTTTTAAGCAATTCCTCATGTGAAAAAGAGTTCTGCTATTAAAACAAAACAAAACCTCAAAAAACCCAAACAAAAAAAGCCATAATGGAACAGTCATAAAGCCAAGCACATCTACATATATTTTCAAAGAAATAGCTCTCACACAAGAAAGTATATTAAAAAAATGCTTCTATTTGGCATCATTTTGGTACGCAGCATCCTGGATGTAAAATCCACATGCCAGACCAGAACAAGTGGAACAAAATCACAGCAAGCCCAATAAATCATCTTATAACATATTCCTGAAGCAGTTAGATTAAATAGTGTTTTGAATTATTGCTCACTGTGGTGAATAAGATAAACTATATGAAGCAAAATAAAGAAAATAAGTCTGTTTCCAAAACCAATACCTAGTACCACTGAGTTGGGCAACAGGCATCACCCGGTAAATTATTGACCCAGGAAACATATAGGTCTTGAGTTCAAATTTCCTATTTGTTTGTTCATCATGCTGATAGCCAATATTAAAGTATAAATACACACCTGACCTAAAGGTGCCTTTTAAAATATTTCTTCATTATTTTCTTCCCCTCACCTTGCCATGAAAATCTTCATGGGGTTTTGCCATGAAAAACTGGATGTCAGATTTTTTAACACTGGAATGAACTGGTCTTAGGAAAAAATGAACACTGTATGTTGATGTCAAATGAATCCAGTACTCAGAATCTTTACTACCAAAAAATTAATTCAGTTTCTGTTCTTGAGGAGCTTTAAATTGTTACATTGGAAGCAAGACAATCAAGCAAATGAAAAGTCTTTATGGTTATAGTAATTTTTCCTTATAAGAACTATTGAATCAAGGGCAAAATATTTATTCTGTTTCAGCTTCATTGCTAATATGGATTTCAGAGAGAGACAAACCGTTGCCTATAGTGGCTGATCCTTATGGAGAACAAACTGGCTGAATAGTGACTGAAAATGAGAGATGATAATGTAATATGGAACAGTAAAGGGATAAACACTAACAAATAACAATGCCTTTCAGACTCTGTGGTAGCGAAAGTCTCTACATTATGTCCAGATTGCCTCATAAAATAAATTAAGCATATCAAATAAATTAAGCTCTTAAATTAATTTCTAAAAAAGGAATAAAGGAAATGACTTGAAATGCTTCAAGGGTTCTTTTCTCAGACATTGCTGCCCCCTAGGTGGATGTTGACATAAAATCCATCTTGACCTTATGACATCATGCAATTCTTTGCCTTGATATGGTTTTGCTGGAAATGCTTTCCTTTGAAATAACTGAAAAGCCATCTTCAGTGGAGCAATTTGTGCATCTACAATGTTTTCAATAAAAACAATGGATATTCAAAACTAAAAGTAAAAACAAGTCAAAACAAAACAAGATGAGCATTCACAAGCTCTCCTAAGCCTCCTGACCACCTCACAAACACAGCATGGGATTCGGTCCCTCAGTGTAAAACTCTGCCCACTGCCTCAAGGGAAATCAGATAGAAGCTAATAAAATACATCCTCTAACAAGCCTGTAATAAGCAAAAGTAGATAAAACTATCAGATAGTTTTCCAGGGCAGTTCTACCACCACTCTGCTTAAATGCCTCCTGCGTAAGTGGTAACTTGATGTTATTTATTTACTGAAGCTCATGACAACTACTCACAGGGAGCCCTGGTGATCCCACTGCACCAGATGAGCCTGGGTCGCCCTTTTCTCCATGCCTTCCAGGGTATCCCATTTGTCCTTTCTTTCCTTGAGTACCTGGAGGTCCTTGCATACCACGGCGACCAGGAGGGCCAGCACTACATGAGCAGAGGCCTTGATTTCCTGTGTGAACGTGTCAAAGTTACATTGAAACAGCTGCAAAATACATATACAAAAAATACCACTGCCCTTCTTTTCTGTATATTGCACAGACCATTTTATCTCATTATGGCCTTCCAATGAGTGAAGCATACCAGTCCCTTTTTACACTGCTGAATAACTGCTGCACTGACATAACTCTGCTGACTTAGAAGCCCCAGTGCCAACAGGCCATTTAACTCTGGATTTTGATGGGCCTTATCCTCCAAGTTACCATAAACTTCTTGCAAATTTAGGCCTGACATATCCAGCAAAGGTCTCATGTCCCAGTTGTTGCTATCCAGGCATACTTACCCTTTTCTCCTTTTATACCTTTTCTTCCTGGAAGACCTATCTGACCTTTTGCTCCAGGTTCTCCAGGGATCCCTCTGTCAGTACAGATTATACCTTTGAAAAAACAAATTGTACAGCTACTATATATCAGGTTGACTGTTTCCACAGTTTAGGTCACATGTTCTCTGCTCCCTTATCTTGCTATCCTCATGTAAAAAGCTAGAGATCTTATGAAATGTTTTACAAGTCATTGCTTGTAGATCATACTACAAGAGTCAGTCTGGCTATAGTTGGTGCTGACACATTGTTTTTTCATTGCTACTACTTCTTCCTTTTTCCACTGTAGAACTTTATGACTCTTGTTTCTTTACTAAAGCATGCCGATTTGGGTTTCCTCCCCAGTCTGCTGTGTTTTTAACTTCAGGTGATATATTTTCAGGGATGTTTTTCATATATGTTACTTTGTGGGTTTAAATCACCCAGAAAACTGTGAAAATCTTGACATCAATAACTGATAGGGAAAACATGTTTTCTGCATCACATGTGAAGTTTGATATATCTGTCAAAATGCACTTTTCACCTCTGTTTTTTGTAGGACCAACAAAAGCAATGAATTCATCAATTTGCAGAACTATATTCTCGCCATATAAATTGCTGTTGAACCTACTGGGTAGTCCAGGTAAGCCTTGTCTTCCTGGCTGTCCTGGTAGGCCTGGCGGTCCAGGAAATCCAGGTCTTCCTGGGATTGATTCACCTGTTCCAGGGAAACCAGGGTCACCTTGAAAACCCTGAGGTCCTGGTGCCCCACTTACTCCTGGCAGGCCAGGCAGACCTATAAAGAAAAGAATGGTATATAGCCCATATGTCTTCATAGTAATGATTACTACAGGATATCAAAGAGAAAGTTACAGACCATCCAGAGCTATCCTGAAGAAGAGCTATTATGTAACAAAGACTTAAATCTAAATCTTTAAGTTTGCCAGGGTTCCCTGGAAAAGAGCCTCCTGCTTTAGATTTTCAAATACTTCTTCTCTTCCTCCCCATTATCTCTTTTCCAGACATCCCAGTTATTCTCCTTCCTTATACAGAACAAAGTCATCCTCATCACCTTCCTTTATATCTTCTTGGAATGGAGAAAATAATTTTTGAGCACAGCACTCCAGATACAGGCATACCATGGATTTACAGTTCATGGTAGCATCCTGCTTCGTCCTCTGTTTCTTTTCTACTAATTCATAATCTGTTTGGATTATTTTGGTTCTATTCTGGCCACTAAGTGCTGAGCTAGTATTTTTACTGAGCTCTCTGTAGAGATCAAATCCTTACTGTTGCTTACTGTTGGTGATTTGCATCAAGCAAGAACAAAGAACAGTTTTCTTTCAGCTGCTTTCTCTCCTATTGGTATATCGTTCAGATTTTGTGCCCTGCTTCTCTTACTTGTTCCATCATCTCCTGGTCTTCCTAGCAGGCCTGCAGGACCAATTGGTCCAACTGACCCCATATCACCAGCAGGACCTGGAAATCCAGGATCTCCTTGTGGACCTACACAGAAAAAAAGCATGTGAATTGAACACCTTATGCAATTGACAGCTTAAATCTAAATTAAACTGCAACCAAAATTATCATTTGGAAACTACACAAAACTAAAACACAGTAACTTCTTTTGTCTTATGAAACATTTTTAGATGTGTAACAATTTAATTTTAAGGCGGGAGGATTTGGTTACTTTTCTATGGATTCCTGCCCATTTCACAGGCACAGTTTTGACTCTTTGTCACTCCATAGTAGTATCTTCTTGCTACATATTTTAGAATGCAGAGAGAAGTGCTTGCCCAAAATAAATACATGTAGCATTTAAAATAAACGTGTATCTCAAGTTATACGCATTTGGCAGTGCACATGGGGAGGTTATTTCAGGATCATTCCACTTGAAATTATTCAGATTGGTAAAAGTATATTTTCAAAACTGCTATAATGAATAAATTTAAAAATTGGAATTACATAATGATAAAGAAAACCTGAATCAGACATAGAGGGCTTCATTAAATTGGAAAACAAAATATTGGTAGTAGTTCTGTTCTCAAACAATTCTGCTAAAGTCCCATTTCTCTGAAGAACGTACCCACTCACACACCATGCTCATGATTAACTTTAAATCTTACTTGAGATATTAAGCAAGGGGTTAAGTCTTTGACTGCATGGGCTGGAAATACACAGAAGCCAATGAAAAACAAATTTAATTGATTTTTGGACGATGCCCCTATCTAATGGGGAGGCTCTGCTGAACTCTAGTTGTGTTGTCTTGCTTCTGTGTTCACGATCAGCATTTGCTGCACTAGAAATACAATTTGTGATAAGTTTTCTGTTTAAATGTTCTTACAATACAGGTTCCACAAGCATGAGATGCCAAAGCAAATCCCTTTCAGGCAGCAGGCTTGGCTGTTCCCCACTGCCTCCTGCTATGAAATAAGAACTTCCACACACTTTTTCACTAATTAGATAGTAAAGATGGGGATAAAAGAAGCGGGGACATGAAAGCCCAGCCTGAGGTTTAGGTAGGAAGGTAGTAAGATTGACAGGTATTCTGTTAGGAATACTAGTTCCAGGATTTCACCCCTGCTATGTGGTAGGAAACTCAATTGTAGTCCAGTATCTGTGTGTTGTGGCAATTCTGAAAACAGGAATTCTAAATGACAGTAGGAATGCCAGTTTTCTTCTTTGCTATCTATTATGCATCATGGGCTTATTTTTCATAGCTTTTTCTTAAATATGCTTAGGTTCAATAACTCGGTATAGTCCTGCAGATCTAGCTGTGTCTGTATGCATAAAGATCTTTCATGCAAGCAATTAATCTGAAACTTGTATGTTTAACGTTGGTCCAGTAAGATCAGTGAGACACAAAACCCCCACAGAATGTGGCCATTAGGAAGATAATGTTTTAGGATTCTGTTCCCTGAACCCCTAGTGATCACCTTTAAACACCTTAGCAAAATAGGTCCTACACACTTTATACAGCAGAACTATTTAAAACTAGCTATAACCTTTTATAGGAAACAGCGGAGTTCCAACAGCTCCAGGAGGACCTGGGGGCCCTTTTTCTCCTGGATCCCCCTGTAAGAGTCCAACAGTAAATATTACTGATAGATACAAATATGCAGTGTGCTAGCATGTAACTGAGAATTTCAACAGTGATGGGGTATATAAGGATGTGACACATATTACCTGGGAAACTTGATTTTGACACTTTGTAGCATTTAAAACCAGGCAAAAAGATATAAAATAATCATTATCTTCCCGGATACCAGTGTCTAAACAGTAATATACCTATTACACATATCTATTTGACTCTTCAGAACTCATGAGTGCTGTATTTGGTTTCATTGATTTATAGTAAAGATGAATCAATTACAGTAAATAAGTACCCTTTTAAATGAAACATTTTGATTTAACAATCAAGCTGCAATAATTTGCTTTAAAATTCTATATCAGAATTTGGAAATTACTTCTATGATGACAGATAAACATTAAGAAAAGAGGTTTCATGGTCTGACAGATATTATCGATGGTAAGAGATACTCAAAGCTCTTATAAGAAGTTTTAAACATCTGCATCAGGAAAACGTAAAAGTGCCTACTAATGGTGAGGAAAATCACTTCTGCTTGGAGGATTTCTAAATTAGCTTGGATTTTGATACTTAGAATTGCAAGTGAAATGCACTTTAGGGAAGTCTTTTATGTGGCAAATTGTATTAGGCTTTTTGCTTTGTAGATTAGGAATCAGCCCTGCTCTCAGCAGCAAATGGGAACTGAGAAAACAAGAATGTGAATGTGGGAACTGCATAGTGAGGTTGCATTCCTGGGACTGGAGTTCAGGGCCTTTTAGGACACCAACGAGGAGAACTGGGACTGTAAAACTGGATACTCACTCTTATGCAAGTGAAAACACGGAGTCCATGCCTCTTTCTGGCCTTTTTTTTTCTTTTTTTTTTTTTTTAAATTGATATCTCTACAATATTTAAACAGTTCTGGAGCTGTCACTGACTGCTGTCCTCTTGACCTTTGGCCTTTTGGCTGGCCTTTTTCCTTTGACTGTATATTGCGGAATGAAATAACATCCTTGTGTCACCTCTGGCTGTTTTAAACAGGAATATAAATTTGTCTTCCCTAATGACATAGAAGAGTATGCTGTGTGGCCAGAAAGAAAATAAACCTAGCATTTTTTCTCCTCCAATAAACTTACAAAGTATTTTGAGATTTAAAATTAATTTAATGACGATAAAACTACCAAGGATTTGTACAATAGATGGATATGGCCCAAGTCTTACACGCTTTTCATGACGATTCTAAACTGACGCAACCAGAACACAAGAAAGAGCTGAAGAGTCAATGAGACAAGGTCAAAAATATCAGTTCTTGGTATCTCCTTAAGTGACAAATTCCAGTGGTAGTCTCTGAAAATCTCTGTCTTTAGGCTGTTACATCTTATGACCCTCTCTGGATGGTAGCTTCACAACTGCTGTGTTTTCACTGTTGATACACTGCCACATAGTGGCATATATATCTGTTTGGATTATTTTGTTGACTGATACTGTTTTCCCATAAAAATTTCAGGAGACTCAACTTGCCAACAGTTTATTAAAAAAAAAAGCTAAAAATGCCAAAAACATTCAACAGAAGCATCTATCTGCTGTATTCTGTGACCTGGAGTATTCTTAAAATGGAAGCTTGTAATCACCAGTTTTACTGGTATCCCAATTAAGCATTAAACACTGTATTTGTTCTGTAAGTTTCTATACCTTTTTATAATGTCAGTGTCCAAGAACATTTTGCATTGCCTGTAAAGACCATTTGTTATTTTAATGAGACTCGTCCCACTAGTAGCAGAGACAAATGGTCTCAGAGTGATTTCAACAGGACTCATATCCTCAGTTCTGTTTGGTCTGAAGGCGGCATTTTGGTTTTGGTTTTGGTTTTTTTTTTTTTTCAAATTTATCACAGAACAGCTGAGGTTAGAAGGGACCCCTTGTCCAACTCCCCCTGCTCAAGCAGGACCACCTAGACCTGGTTGCCCAGGACCATGTCTAGACAGCTTTAGAACATCTACAAGGATGGAGACCAGTGCTGAGTAGAGGGCAAGGATCACCCCCCTCAGCCTGCTGGCAGTACTTTTCCTAATGCAGCCCAGGATATCATTAACTGCCTTTGCAGCAAGGGCATGTTGCTGGCTCCTGTTCAAGATCCACACAGTCTTGCCAATGTCCAGGCTTAGACATCAAAAGGTAAAGGTATGCCAACAATTCCCTAAAGTTCATTCTTTGCTTTAAGTAACGGTTAACATTTGTAAAAGATGAAGTCTACTTTGAATACAACTGATTTTTCTTTCTGAGTCTCTTTCTTTCTCTTAAATCTGAATGCATCTTAGGTTATCTTTAAATGTGTTTATTTCAGAAAATCTACGTGAGGATGAGCTATTCTCAGGAGGGTTTTTAACTGTATTTGTGTTCCTCCAGTTTATGTGATTTTTAGCAGATCATAAGCAACACCTGGAGAGTCCAGATGAACAGTTGATGCAGTCTAGATAAATCTGCACTTTTCAGGAATAATCAGATTTATCAAGTTGTTTCCTAAGCAAAACTACAGCATCTGTGTAATCTTTCCAAACTTTGCATATCTGTATGAGTTAACCTGATTTTTTTAAGTTGTGTCTATATTTGATTTGTTTTCTTTTGCTCTGTGCATTAGCAATTGTAATTTCATCTTTCCGAATCATTACTGCAGGCATTCAAACCTTTCCCTAGCATAATCTGCCAACAATTAATTATTTTTTGCTTACTGTTTGTAGTGTTAATTGATGGCTCCTCGGGCTGTGGTCTAATCAATGGAGACTGAAGAATGCACTGTTTTGTCTATACAATTTCTTGTCTCAAGTTTGTTAATGATGCACCCAACGAAAATAATATGCACATTAGGGTGAGTACTTTTTAACAAAATGCTTAAGGTTTGATTCTACTTTTGGGGTGTAATGGACTGTAATGATGTTTCTATTTAAATAAGACATGCAGTGTTTCTGTCTAATTAGTGTCTGAATGATTCCATATTGTTGTGAAGTCGATAATGGGCAAATAGGAGAAAAATGAACATCCATGGGCAATTTTTTTTCCCCCATGTATAAATGAGGTCTTGGCTGAAGCAGCTGATCTAGCACTCTCCTCACAGTCCTGACTTTGAAACAAGTAAGCCTCTGACTAAAACAGCTGTTTTTATTGTACTTTTACTTATTTGCCCCATGCATTTGTCATTTTTCATTTGTAAACCTGGTTCTTGAAAACTTATTTCTTGCTTTTTCTTTGTCTGCTTTCAACGATCTCCTTAGCAGTACACTACTTATGGCCAGTTTGCACCAGCCACAGTTTACTTCCTTCTATCATCATAGATTATGTAGTGTGTTCCAATCTTAATTTTCAATTTACAGCACAGGTGTTTCTTGCTCAAACCTCTTGAGTGTCATTCCTCTGATTTCATGGGCACAACTAACTGTGCTTTAAGAAGAGTTACTTTTTTATATGCAGCTTTCCAAAAATATTATTTCACAGGGAAATAAACACTTAATGACTTTTAGATTTCAGAATATTTAGAGCCAAGTTCATTAGTGCCACAATATGTACAATATTGGTTTTGTCCTCTGTACTGTGGTAATAACTTTGATGACCTTTTTCAACCTAGCTGTCTTTACTGATGATCCTGTCACCCACCTTCTTCACTGCAGCATTTCAATTCTCCGCTTGCTCATACATTGCTGACCACTTGGACTCTATTGCGGTGACTCCCTAGACCTTTTCCCTGGCTAGACTCACTGCTGCTTCTACAGTAGCATCCAGAATTGGTTTTTCATTCTGAATGTGCTTTAGCATTGTAGATTCCATAGAAAATATAATAGTTCCCTTCATTCAAGTTTTTGTTGTTAGTCAGAATTACAACATGATCCAGTAGTCAGAACTACAATATGATCATTGGTTCTGCAGCCTGCAGAAGAGAATTCCTTAAATTTATATCCTGAAATGTCACTAGACTGGCACCTGGGTCTTCTGAAATTGTATCAAGCCTCTCTCCCATGCTTTTCAGATGAATATGCTCTTTTACTGCTTAGCTCCCTGACTGTGACACCTACACTTCTAATCCCTAATGCAAAGCAGCATGTAGTTTAAAATAAAAAACAGCTAGCGTCATCTAAGCAAGCAAAAGTAGGAAATGTTTAAACAAAGCTGGTGTGAAGAAGTCCAGTTTCCATTGTGGTAACCATCTTGGAAAAGCTACTTATGTGAGCAGGTTGAACACAGGTAAAAAATTTTGGTAAGTCATGCAAACAAGCCCATCTGAATCAAATTTTGCCACCTCATTTGGTGCTAATTATCATACTAGTTCATAGACCAAAGCTTTTAGGATCATACTGCTACCTAAACAGCAGTTTCCTTTACCTAGCATTCCTGTCTGGGGAATGCAGCTCAGCCATGAATAACTTGCAGAGTACTACAGTTTATGGATTAGATAGCTGTACTGGTATAGTAAAAGGTAACTGTAGACAGTTGGGATTAACCAATTCCTGTGGAATGCAAAATGGAATTCCCACTCTCACACACACCAGGCAGAAGTGTTTACTTGCATTGTTATTTACTACCATGGTGTTGAGTAACCATGACTATCAAGAAAACAGTAAATCTTAAAAGTAATTATGACTGTATAAAAGGAAATAATCTGATAAACCAGAACATTTGGGAGGAATCACTAGCATTTATATAGGGGAGTATGTGTGTGTGCGTACACACATGCTTGTGTGTTTGTTGGGGTGTTTTTACCTGTATGCCTGGATAGCCAGGTTGTCCAGGAAAACCAGAAAATCCCGTTTCCCCCTAGAAAGGGTCACATAAATGTAATTCAATTAATCTGTTTAGACATTAATGTAATTAATTGAACAAAAACCAGTAAGGCAGTCATACAATACTGTCTTGTTATAACAGCATCTGCAGTGTGCTTCAGAAAATTCACTGGCTTTGTACAAGAGATGGTATGTTTCATAGAATCTCTTCTGTTAAAAAAAAAAAACCCACAACATGTATCACCAGGTTATTTAGACAGTGGTGAGTAGATTCAGTGTAGCTGGGGCACAGAACTAGCTGGAATACAGAACAGCAGATGCTGTCTGCTTAATACAGCTGACATTGGTTTGCTGCCTGCTAAAACCATTATTGCATGGAAAGCAGCTCATATCAGCTCCTCCTCTCCTTTTAGGACCTATTAATGTATTCATCCATCCAGGATTCAAACTCTTTAGTTAGGCAGTGGTAAAAAACAAAGTAAAAAGTAATTTTGCAAATGAAACAGTCACCTGGAACATAACTCTAGATGCAGATATCTATATATTATTGTGATTTATGAATAGCATGATCATTACCTTAACTACATTTGAAAATGAGCTGGGGAGAGGCAATAGGAAAAAGGACAAGATATAGATCTATATACCTACATCCATTGTTCTTTACTTCTGCAAGATGTTGTAAATTCATAACTAACATTTAGCAGACTTAACAGCAAAACTGGAATTTCTTGAGCCAGAAAGATGAACAAAACATGCATATAACACAAAATTACACAAACAGTGCCACCAGGGCAAACAAAGTTAACATGCTGCATAACTTTTCTATCATGCTATAGGCAAGTCCCACTGGCTTTTCCTCCTGCTTTCAACTTCAGACCCCGTTAGCCAATTTCAGCCAATTTCAGTGAATGGCAAAAATTCAAAGACAAAGAGTTCATACAAATTCTGTGGCAACAGGTAGCAGGACAGAAAGGAAGGAATGCAACATAAGCTATCAAATATGTAGAAATTCCAAATCCGCACAAATCCACAGAAACCCAAATCTCACTGATCCCACTGCTCAGGGAGCTGCTTATACTTATACTTCTTACCTTCATCCCAGGAAAACCTGCAGGTCCATAAGAACCAGGATTACCCTGATAAAAGCAAGTAGAATGTGAGCTAAAACAGTAAAAGCTTATTCAAAATTACACCTGTTCAGAATTGCTGAGTAGTTAATATTCCTTACATAATTATTACTTGGGATATTTCCCAAAAACTTTGCAAAGTTTGTGCAAGTACTGTATTGAAATTGGGCATGAATTCAAACTATAGACCAAAGTAAACTAGACAGGTCTTCACTTAATTTTTTATCATATTGCACCAAGCACAGTAGTGGACATGTTGCTCCATGTGAGCATGGTTATGCAAATCAAGCACAAGCTGCTGTAAGAAGCTGCCATCAGCACATGTGAGTACATTTAAATTACTGTGTTAGTACAGTGCTACTCCAAAGAAGCTTTGTGCAGCTCTAAATATTTAGAGGATAACCCTACAGATTTACTTTCTTTACAAGGACAGAAAGTGTGTATGAGCTTATGTTTAAAGTAAGTCCCAGCCCAGGACTCCTCAATATTCCATACAGAAAGTAAGACAGATTATTTTAAAAAAATCCTTAAAATCCTTGGAAATGCAAACTTAAACTGCCAAATATGTTATGAACTTAATTATAGTGAATTTGTGAAGTAATTTATTCTGCAACTTCCTTACCCGCAATCCAGGGAATCCAGGAATGCCTTTTTCACCTTTTTCTCCTCTCCCAAGTATACCCTGGAGCATTCAAAATACTTTGTTTAAACAAGATGCTTATTGAAGTTTGCCATAAATTTTATTTTTTGTGCATGTTTATTAAGTTATATATATATTAGGTTAATGGATCTTGTTTCACATGCTAGGCTCAGTCACTGGGGCTTACTTCATACAGCACCACTAGCAGAGCCTACATAGCTTCAGTTATTCAAGGAATCTGCTGTGATTTCTTCTTCAATCTTAACATGCTTTCAGCAGTTTAATTTTTTATTTTAGGCTCTGGGCATCTTTTTGCATCAGTCAATTTCTGAGTTTCTGCTTCTAACTGGGCAGCTAGTACTGGAGCAAGCATATAAAGCCCATCTTTTTCAAAATCAATCTGATATAAAAAGATTGGGTTTGTCTCCTTTTCCAGTGCTAAGTAACAATGGCCCTTTTATGATGGAAAATTACTTTTTGAAAAAGTACTAGACTTAGAACTCAGAAATGTGATGTTCAGGCTTCTCGTTTCTTCTCTTCTGCCTACAAAGCTAAAGAAATTTTTAACCTAAACTAGACTCATTCTTTTGTCCCCAGTTATCTTCTGTTTTCCTGGTATCTGGTAGTTTCCTGCCTGTGGATTTTCCTCCTCCAAATCTATCAGCAATAAAGACTCCAGAATATTTTTTGTGGTTGTTTTTGCTCAGCATGCAGGAACTCTTTACTGGCACACCAATGTTTAAATTAATCATGGTGACAGAAAAAGCAAAGCTAAATAGATAGCATACAGCAACTCTTTCTCCAAACAGGTGGCTCTGCTTTCTCTACTCTTGAGGATACCCATAATGAGAAGTTAGTGTCTTTTCCTAACATACTCAGGGAAACATACATCATGTCCCACTAAGAACACATACAGATCTTCTCTACTTCTCTTCTTGAGAAAAAATAATCTGTGCTTCTCTTTTCTTCACAGTCCATTATGTGTCACTAGCCCAGCTGGAAACAACACTGACCTTTTGCTACCAGGCAACATTCAATAAATATGTATAAAACAGACTCAGAAAGGTTTTCCAAAGGGTTTTGAAATATTTTTGCTTTTACACTGATTTAAGTGATGATTAAATTTCACAGCACAAATGCTGTTATTTCTTCTATCAGCTTGTGCTTTAAAAGACTAACTTAGTAACCACAGAAGGACTTTGCTAGCACCATGAAAAAAAAAAAAAAATCACATCACTTACTTTGGGTCCACGTGGCCCTCTGTATCCTGTTACCCCAGGCAGTCCTTTTTGGCCCTACATATACAAGGAAAGTTTTTGTGTATATTAATATGCAGGATATATCTATGTGCTGTTTAACTTTTTTTAAGTCTTGTTCTGAATTACTGCTGTTAAATAGTATTGTCTTAAGCACTGGGCCTGTTCCTCTAGAAGTACTAGGCAGTAGAGAAACAAGAAAAACAATTATGTACTGATTTTTATTTCTGCTAACACTGTCAAACCAGCATAATGACTGTGGAGTGAGATAGATGTATGTTTTCACTTGCAGGGTGAAAAGATCGGGGCTTTATTCCTACAAACATGCATGACTGTTTTTTTTTTTGTTTGCTGCTCTATTTAGTTTGATGCAAGTATTCACATACATAAATCTACACTTTTGTGCATAGACCCAATCTGAATGGGATGCATGGCATTTGCATAATCAAAGCCCAAGATCCAATACGTGAAATCTGTTGGTTCTCTGAGTTGAGGCTGCAGGGGCTGGCAATGCCAAATTCACCTTTTGATTTGTGTATTTGAGCAAATCAGACTTGAGGATATAGAGACTCCAATATAGGGTTCCATAATGCAATTTTTGTAACTCCTGTTCTTTTTAAGCAAACATTCTAATGTTTTAAGGTACACAACTGTGGCTACAGTAAGTGTGATATTGGAAAAAGTACAGTAAATAACAGGAACTTGCATTAAAAACAGACAACAATATCACACTTAATTTTCATCTTAAAAGAGCACCCTAGAAGGGTTAGGGTTGATAGTTCAAAACATTACATTGAAGAAATCTCAAAGAGAATAATTACCAAAGATCTGAAAAATAATAGTGTCCATGAAAAGCCACAAAAGAGATTCAGTAGCAGAGGAACCAACTTTCCCTGAGATGCCTGAAATACAATTTGCTAATGACAAAGTTAAGAAATCCAGAGCAAGGGCAGCAACTTCTTTCTGCATCAAGACAGTCTTCCCTCAAGGACACAGGCTGAAGTACACATGGGGTCTCTTCTCCTGAAAGCCTGTAGGAAGGATGCTGAACAACAAGATTTCTGATGAAGCTGGTAATTTACTACAGAAAGAAAGACTTGTCCTATGCCATCCTTGCAAAAATTACATCACGAGACTGTACTTTCCAAGTTGACCACAGTTAAATATGAAGACAAATTAGCACCTTTTCTCCTTTGAACAGCTGAGCTCCAGGAGGTCCAACTAACAGTGGTGACCCAGGTGGCCCAGGAAGTCCAACGTCACCCTGTGGAAGCCAGAGGAACAGCACAGAGACATTCTGTTCCATGCAACGTTTCAGTGAGACTCACCATGTTTTCCTGTTGTACTACAGCACTACATATTTTTGTACTCATTGAACATGTACTTGTAATAATAACTGTAGAAAAAATAAAGGTTTGTACTGAGATCTCTAAGGCTCTCTACTGTCTTTCCAAATGAGCAAGGTTGATGATCTTAATCCCCTCCTCTTCAGTCATTAAAACTAATGTTATGGCTAAGGAAATAAATGAGAACTGTGTACTCATAGCTCTTGCTCTGAGTCTGTACAGAGATAGTTACAGAATTGTCAGATCTCTTGTGTGTACTCATATTTCAGACCGAAGCCTTTGAGCGCAAGGCTTTGCAAATGTAAAGATTAAATTATTGATTTACTGTGGAAAGTTGTGGATGTTGGAAACTTGCATGAATTCTAAGAAGTGAACGTACAAATTCATAGAAGGAAAATCAAATATTCCACATTGATTCTGTAAGTCCTGTGTGTGCTAATGGGTGGAGTCTGGGAAAAGAATTGTTATTATGTGCTTGTCCTTTTCTTACACCCTTTCCATGGCATCTGTTGCTAGACACAGCAAGAGATGAGATTCTTGTGATTTATCTGGTACAGCCACTGTTACTGGAGGGTACTGTTGTGATTATTCAGGCAGGTCTATACAGAAGGTAATTGCTATGTAAATGCTAAGTAACATATTGATTGTTGCTTTTCAAAACCCCCAGAATATGTTTGAATCCTGTATGCAGCTCACTGAAGGGGAATCACTTCTGCACAGAATTAACTGAGTCAATAACTTGTATTACTACTTCCATTCTAACGTGATTAGTGGCACTACACAGCCACAAATAAATGGGTTCCAAGGAACCCAACAAGACTCTATTATACTTCTAATTCTACAGCAATAATATATTTAATAATCTCTGTTTTCTCTAATAATATTTATTTTCTTACCGGCTCCCCCTTCTGTCCATCCACTCCAATACCTGGGTTTCCCTAGTTAACAAAAAATATACACAGTTTGAAGACAGAAAATGCTGACATTAGAATTTAATCAAGATCAAGTAACTCCTTTGAAAAACTTGGTAATAAATAACCATAAGGTACATTTCAAATATTTGTATAAAATACTTTATTATTTCACTAACAACTTCAGGAAAAGTCATTGCCTACCTGTTCACCTGGCAATCCAGGGTATCCTGGAATACCCTTTAAAAGAGAATGAAGAAAGGTTAATGCATCTGATTTGGAGACAGCTTTGCTTTGAAAATTACCTCCTCTTGCCAGTAGCACCTAGAGGCAGAATTTCCTCTTGGGACATGCTTCTCCCAGAGTAAAATTTACTTCACCTGGTCACTGCTTTCAGGAGGGCTGAACTCCGGCTTCCCACCTTTCCTGTTCCCACAAATCCCACAGACTGCCAGGATGAAACGTGTTCATGCATGCGTAGGAAGGAACAACATATTCTCCAATTCCTGAACTTCCAAACTCACAAAGTAAGGTAAATCTCTCATTTTATCTTCTGCCTCAAAAGTTATTTCTAAGATTTGATTGATATTAAGGCAAGTTCTAAAATTGGTAGACCAGAATTTAGGCATATCGTGGAAGTGCAAAGCTGTGTAACTGTGGTGTTCTTACAGGCAAGCCTGGTTGGCCTGGGTATCCAGATGCACCCATTGTACCTCTTGAGCCTCTGGGTCCCTGGAAAAGATAGAAAAAGGTCTGTTTGTAAAAATACCATGAGTGTACCATATTCTCCACAAACCTAGTCCCTCCAAAATACCTGCAGCACTTGGACTCAGTCTACTGGCCACTGCATTCTACCCATGGCCTGAAGTTTATACCGTGCCTGAAACCTCACTGTCACTAGAGCAGCTTAGCACCAATTTCTGGGTAATACTGTACAGATAGCACAAAATGCACAGTTACATGCTATTAATGAGTTGAAAGAATACTTTGTCAGTAATTCTGCTACAATGTGGGGACTTCATACAGTTCATCAGTGAATACATTTTTGAAGGGCATAAGAAGAGGAACCCAAAGCCATTAAAAGTGTAAGTCAGCAACAAAATTAAACTCTCTCTTCTTCTCATGTTTTTATGGCCAAACTACTGTAGCGTGCTACATGTTCTTGGGAGATCCACCAGATACTGTTGAAGAAGGTGTCACATCTCTACACATCTTGAATTTCATGGAGAAAACAGTCTACAAACTGTGAGTATCAGGTCAACAACTGCTCAGTGCACAACTAATACAGATACATATGGTCTGTTTCTGCTCCATTTCAGCCAGATGAACTGGTCATGGGGTCAGACTGTAGGGACTCAGTGTTTGTTAGACTTTATTCTGAAATTTTGCTTTTTAAGACAGACAGGGAGAAACCCCAGTATTTCTTTACTGTACTAAGAAGGAAACTTTGAAAGATCTTCAAGACAAAAAGCATGTATAGAACCCACTGACTGTACTTACGGGCATGCCGGGGGGTCCAGGATCACCTCTGTTGCCCTGTAACGACAATCATTTAGCGAACGAATCATTATAAGCTTTGTATGGGTATTTCTAACTTTATAGCCTTTAAGATCACAAGCTATCTGTTCCAGTTATATATTTGCTTTTAAACCTTTTTTTTTTTTGCACCAAGCTTTATTAAGCAGTGACAAGTTATGTGGACAATTACATTGGCCATATATGTTTTCCTACAATATGTGATTTTTTTTTTTTTTTTTTTACAATCAGATACTTACTGGAGGTCCTTTTCCAAAATGTGCCACATAGACTGAGTTTCCTTTTTCTCCTTTTTGCCCTGGATTTCCCTTTAAAGAAAAAAAAGTCATTTAAAACATGATCCACTTACTGATACCCTACAATTCAGTGGAGATTGAATGATAATTTCTCAGGCTGTGCTTTTCTGTTGCCCATAAATCACTACGTAATCCACTAGAACTACTATCACTGCATAAGCATTTTGCAGTTCTTTAATAAGACCCTTAAAAGTAAAACTGCCTTCTGTACAGTTGAGCAGACTCCTGCTCTGTTAGACACTCCTTAGCTCAGCTTTTGGGTACTTCACTACTCTACAGTCTTCACAAATCTTGCCTTTAGTATAAAGTATATTAATATGCCTAACTTTTCTTTCAGTGAGTCAGTGGCTTTAAGTATTAGCACTCTCCCTTCTCCAAAAGTTCATGTTGTGATTTAGAGGAATATCTAGTGTGATTCTGCATACAGTTAAAAAGCTGAAAGTATGGACTGTTACATGCGTAATCGTCAACATTTCCATCTATAAGGAAATATGTTTTACAGTCCATAACAAAATATAATTCTGATGCCCAAAGGCCCTGTATGTTCCCATGGTACTTGCTGTGGAGTCCTTTATAAAATTTTGCCAATCTTAGCACCCTCAAAACCTCAACCTGACTTAGTAGGAACAGGTGATTGCTTTTACAAAATTTAATTGTAATGCTCAATTGACTATTAAATTAAGAACATGATATGTACATACCTGAAAAACAGATATATTAAGACATTATTCCTGAAGTCTTCTCATTTGAAATTCAAACATACTGGATATAATTTAACTAAGTTAACCACTAGTGATTTCAATAAAATGGTGTACTGTTTTTCATAGAATTTAATCACTTTAAAAATTTCCTGGTTTCCTGATATTATACATTAGCTGCTCAAATCCTCATCTCAGAATGAAACAGGGAAAGTACTTAACCTTGGAATGGTACAATAAAAAGAAGAGTTACAGCTGTCTGCAGCTGGATATAGCTACAGTAGACTGGATGCAGATTATAGATCAAACAACAGCTGCTAGGGAACACATTAAACACATCAAAAGTTATATTTGTCTTTGGTAATTTTATGTGTGTAATAAAACATCTTTATTAGATTCAGTTTGTTACCTTCTACTTGAGTTAGGTAAGGGCTTACAAATGGAAACTAATTATCCAACTTATTGGTGAGGTAAATGTACTGATTCTACAAGGTAACAGAACTAAAGCAGATGAATATACATAGAGTTAAATTAAATGATATGGAACGTTATAAATAATAACATAAAATGTTAGCTTAATATGTAGTCAAGTTGGTACATAGTGAAACAAATTGATTTAAAAATAGACAATCTGCATAAGAAGGTTGGAATAGCATTCTCGTACACAAGCAAATATGGTTACCATGTCTTGTTTTTTTCTGGGTAGCTAAATTAATTTGCACTGGAATTTTACTGTGCATATCCAGGGCTACATGCCTATTGTGTCTCCCATTCTTTGTAGATTGCAAATACTTTTCTAGGCCTGCCAAAGAGCATGCTCCTGCAATTGGGAGGATTTATGCTGTGATTTGTCCTATGACTCATTTTTCCTTTATGTCATTTGGCTAATTATAAAAGGCAAAACTCTATTTTGAAAATAAGTGAGAAAACAGGTAAATTATAGTTTGAGCAGAAGTCATTTTACCATTTGGAAGGTCAATGGATTACCTTGAGAGGTGTAACAAATGAGGTCATTACCGAGTTGTTTCTCAGTTTGTGCATTTCATAATATTTATTACAGGCCCAAGACTCAAATTGTATGGTTTTTCTAACTGCTATATTTTTGATAGCATCTTTTCACTCTGGTGCCCACTGCACATTTTTTGATTCCCTATGGCTGAATCAGCATCTTATTCAGCTCCTACTAAACACTTGACTTTTCACGTAAATTGCAGTTGTTTTTATTCTTTTAACTAGAAAATTTCAGGGAAGCTCTTTGACCAACTAAACAGCTATTAATCATTCAGAACTAAAACTTTTTTCCACAAAAGGTCATAAACAGGGAACTAGAACTGTTCAGCAAAATTTCTTTGGAACTACAGTAATTTTTATCCCTTACTGACATAAATCTGTGCTTTACTGCTAACACAACTATTTAAACGATTTTAAAGTGCCTTCCATTTTAACAGCAAAAGTAAACAAGATTAAAGTGCTGATTTTAAACATTTTAACTGAAATAATTTCTATATACACAGATAAACACCCAGGCGAGATGAGGTGTGCACAGAGCAGTCATGAATAGGTGTGTGTAAAAAGTGGCACTGTAAGAGCATGATTTTGGAAGAGATCTACTAATACATTTGTGTGATCAACCACTAAAAATCTTTGTTACAGGACGTAGACTTGTTGAAGCTTCCACTTATTGCTAATTCATCTCACATATATCCCTACTATTAAGGCTTTTAAGAAATTTCAGGTATTGATAAACGGTATGATGGTTTCAAGCTACTCATTCTCAGTTGTACTTCCATTAAATGGTATTAGCTTTGGTGTGGTTACATACTGGGGAAACAAAGCAGAATTCAACTCTCAAGGTAGACATACATACTTCAAGGATATAGGCACTTATTTCACATTCAATCTTAATCTGTTAAGGTACCAAGTGTCCTTCATTCCCATTAATTATTGTAAGAATGCCTAGAAATTCATTGTGCAGTGTAAAGCTAGTGCCATAGTCTAAAACTTCTTTCATTTTAAGAGCGTTTATTTTGGAGAGGAAATGTACATATACATTCAGAGACAGTAGAAATGACTTTCACATACATAAGGACCTCTTGGTCCAATATAACCATTTTCGCCCGGAAATCCTGGATCTCCTCTTGAGCCATTGCAGCCATCGAAACCAGGCTTGCCCCTGGGTCCTTCGCTTCCTGGTAATCCCTGGAAGACAGTTTAATATTTATTAGAGATACACCAGGATAAATAGGGAATTACTTTTTAAATTAACACAACAGTTCAGAAACAAAGTATCTCAAATCTGAAACAGAGGACCTCTCACAGTGGTCCTAGCTTCACAATCTTAGCATTAGAAACGTTTTCTGTTGTGATCAGTAGATTTTTTTTTCATGTATGACAAATGGTATTTCCTATCTTTTTCTTTGATGCATAGCAAATATAACAGGGACAGCAGTGGTTAAGAGGGCCAGGCTGAGCTCTCAAGTCAAAAAGTAATGTGCTATCTTCTCAGAGAAAGCAGACTCTAGCCCTCTAACTATAATCTTTCTTGTGGTTGTAAAGAAAAGCTAAAGAAATACACAAAAGTAATCAGCCTCATATGTTTCAATTGATAGGATAAAACAAGGTGAGAAAGGACACAGCTTGACTCAAGTGCACAGTAATCGCAGAGATTATGACTATACATTCAAGAATTGAGGAAGTAATTTTCTAACCTAGCAAGAAATAACCAATGTCCAGATATGGGTTAGTCCTACTGCAAATTGGACACTAGGAAATACATACAATGACATTTCCCTTGGAATGATCTTTCCATTGGAGGAAAAATTATTTTCACAGAATTAAACATTTTTATAAGGAAAAACCAGTAATTTTGACCCACAATAATGTTTTGGTGTTCTGAAAAATCATCAGGAAAGTATGAAATGTTTTTGTTAATTTTACCTTCTTCCTATCTTTAAGTTTCTTCATCCCAATTTGTGGATGCTGGTTTTTTAATTAACATTCTTCATAAAAAGAATATACATTTCTTGAGTTTCTTTTTTGTGCTAAATTTTGGCCTTGTGACCTCTACAGTACATAGGCATTCAGTCCCATTTTCAAGTGTGGACAGCTGACAAGCAGATGCTAAGACACCCACACAGTTTCTCGTTCTGATTTCACTTTCAAAATTCAACATATTAACTCAGTTTGATCCATATGAAACTATTAGCAGCATAAGAATTCAGTTTTAACAAACAGCATTTTTCAAAATAGTGTATCTAAGAGATATTATCTTTCTTTTACCACACCCATTTCCACACTGAAGAAGACACTCAGAAAAATATATAAGTGCATGCTTATAAAGATATATTGAGGACCCACTTTCCTTCTTCAGTCCCTATTCAGGTTAAAATTGCTGGACTCAGTGGTTACTTTTTTTTTCCTGCAAAAGGACTACAAGAAAAATCAGAACATTTGAACAGAAAGCAGCAGATCATTTGAGATACTTTCAGAAATTTTAAGAATGCTGCAAGCAGACTACAGCCTGCTATAGAGCCTGAGAAAACAAACTCACTGTTTTTAGTGCTAGAACTGACACATACTGTGTTGACATGGGCTAGTCTCTACCTTCACCGCCCCACTCCTGCATGAAAATTATGTACTTACCCATTGGGATTTTGTGGAGTTTGTTATCAATAGTAAACACAGCTGAAGTTAAGCTGGCTATTTTACATTTTTGCAAAACATGTAATTCAGTAGGTGAGATGATATCAATAGATATAAAACCAAATAATTTATTGAGTGTATTATTCTGTTAGAGGACTTACTATGACTTTATAGAAACTGTAATTTTTTATAAAGCAATATTAATTCAATACGTACAGGAACACCATCTAAACCAGGAAATCCTGGGACTCCAGTGGGCCCCTAAAACCAGGTGACATGAAAAAACAAAGTTGCTGAGGTCATTAACTCTTAAAAAGAATGAAAAACAAGAATATGTGATACTATATAGCAAGAAAAAAGAAACAGTCTCATCTGAAATATGAATCAAAAGATGTAATTGTCAGACATAAATATCTGAAAAAAGTTATATGGGCTTAGCAAGAGACTAGTGCCAATAGCTACCCACGTAACAGATGGCACAGTACAGGACAAATGTCTAACTCTCATACTCATTCATTCTACGAAGATTATAAAATGACGGAGAAGGGAAAGTTGCCTATAACTTAGAAAATAATTCTGTATGTAATTTCACAACCCTGCTCCTGTTTTATTAATACCAGCAACACAATTTCTTTTTACGACACTGATGTTTCAGGTATGCTAGATACCGACATTGCTGATTTCAGTCATCTGCTGAGATCAGTTGAATTAGACCATTAGAACTAGTATAAAGTACCAAGAGCCCTGAACTGCAACTTATACTACATGAGTGGTAATAAAATTCTGATTAGTGTACAGCACTTTTAAAAGCACCTACTCCTTCCAGCTCCACATTCCTCCCACAGCCCTCTTTGAGGTTAAGGAAGATGACGTGATATGTAACAATCAGAGAGTGGGTATGTTTCATTTTGTTTTATGTCTTCTGATAATTCTAATTTTGCAATCCACAGCAAAAATCCCCTGAAACATTTTTTTCAAGAAAGCTGTAATTAATTTCAGAATTTTGTCTGAGCAAGAGTATAGTTTGGCAAATGCTTTTTGATCATTCAAGTTCTGTTTCATTTGCAAATATTTAACATTACATAGTGTATTCAGCTAAAAGAGCTGTCTATGGTGTTTCCTACCTTGTCACCTTTTTCTCCAGCTGGCCCAGGCTGCCCATTCTCACCTCTCTGTCCTTTTTCCCCTGGCAGACCTGCTGGTCCTGTAGACCCCAAGGACCCAATCAGACCTTGAGCTCCCAGCTCACCAGGCTGACCCTGAAAAGAGTTCAAAGAAGTGAATGACTCCTGCTGCAAACCTTGCATCAGGCACCATTTCAGAGATGACTGTATGGATAAAACAAGGCTTACAGTGTTTACATACTCATGATTCTAAACAGCTTGCTGTACAGCCTGCAGATCAGTTCCATGCATTAGATGCTATAGGAACACAACCTTCAAATTTAACAACTTGCTCAAGGTGACAATTTTGTTTCACCTTCATCAGGTCTCCAGCACCAACTCTCTGAGATGTCAGGGATAAATTGCAAGTCTTCCTGGGTCTACCAATGTAAGTATCACCTTCTGCAAGCGTAAGTTTCCACTAAGCATCATATTTTTGCCACCAGAGAAGTGATGGCTCATTTTAGATGCAGGGACTTTGTACACAATTAGAACAAATTGAGAAGTTCCCTCTTTCTTTTAAGTCACACTATATGCTAATTATCTTAAGTTTTTCTAGCTCACATATCTTCCATCATCATGCTCAGCTCTTAATGCCTTACTTAAAAGTTGTGCAGTTTCCTGCAGAAAAAAAAAGCATAGTTATCAGACAACTCATTTACAGAAATATAAATTTTAACAGATAATGTTACAATGATTTGAGAGGTTGCAGAAGGTCATTTATCTACAAATAGCTCTGAATTGAGTATCTGTACCTACAGTACCATACACACCATCTCCATGGATTTCTACCAGCTTTTCCAAGGTAATGTATATTCTCCCGAAGTAAAAATATTTCCCATGCCAGCTGGATTTTTCAGTCTATAGCATTGGTGTGGAATTGCTTTGGATTTGTTGCTGGTTTTGTTCTGTGCTGCTAAACAACTATTAAATCATAGATGCAGAGTGCTGAATAAAGCAAGCTTTCTGATCAGACTTCATGTGAGCTGTCTACACTTTCACCCTACAAAATCTTACGTATTTACAGGTCTTCATGCTCTATCATTATCTTTGTTTAGGTTAACTTGTTTTGTTTCACAACTTAAGAATGTTTTGTTTTGTTTTGTTTTTCAGAATCCATCAATCAATTATACCACATTATTAAAAAAGAGAGCAAAATGGAGTCCTGTTGCATTCCTGAGAAAAGCACATGGATTTAAGACCACTTGAGGGCAATAAAGGATGTTTCGTACAACCTACATTCACAGAAGTGACAGACCATCCAATTATTTCTATGAATAGATTGAAGGAAAACAAAATGACAAAAATCAAAGGTGAGTGTAAGGAGGTATGTTAGCTTCAGGAGTCAAATTATGTTGAAGCAACAAAACTGTATTGTTTGCTTCTCAGTGTAAACATTTCAACAGACTGAATCTATCTGAAAAAAATCTTGTGAATTGAAAGCAGGGACCCAAACCTCTTCTCCTTTTTCTTTATTCTCTATTTGTCTTTTAAAATATGTCCATCAAATCAGTGTGATTTGACAGTTGAACATGAATTGAAAATATGTATGGTATGCATCATCTAATCAAATCAGCAAAAAAAGAGAGTAAAGAGAAGGTAACTTACTACATGCTTGGAACAAGAACACACTATAGGCTTATGCTGTACTGGAAGCAGGACTGGATCACCACTGGCCCTGAAGCTATGAACAGGAATTCAGTCCAGCAGCTATGAAAAGAAGTCCTACATTTATAAATAAGGACTACCTGAAAAAGTATCCTCATACGACTCATTTTCCATTTGTCTTACTGGCTCCTCTCACTTAAACCTTGATCCTCTTTCCAGTGAAGTCACTGGCAAAAATTCCAGGGCAGAATCAACACGTTGTCTTCAGGAACAGTTACCATTTTCTTGCTACTATAATTTGAGCAGTGTAAATTATTATGCAAATTAAGGACTACCAGTATTAAAATCTGCTGATTCTGTATCCTTATTAACAATGAATGAACAGTCAGGATTCTGAGTGTTTAATTTGAGTATTTGCTTGCATGAACAATTGCAGCCTGTCCATTGGCAGTGCCCTGTATATCCTCTGTTGTAAAACAGAATTTATTCATTTAAGTACTCTTAAAGCAGCTATTACACCCTTTAAATATTGGATAAAAAAAAAAAAAAAAAACAACAACTCGGCAATCACTTTAATTAAAGCATAATTTTGAGTATAAGAAAGGTGAAATGAATGAGACTAATAACATAGTAAAATACAGCTGTTTGAACCATTCACGCTACTGGAAGTGATATTTATTTTAGTACACTGAACTAGCTGTTACCATGCAAAATGCAATATTCATCAGCAGGAAAAAAGCCCACATAAGATATTTCTCACTAATGCCTTTGTCTTAACAATGCATTTTGTTGACAAGAAGTTTCTGCAGCAACTGTAATATTTTTCATTCATAGTTTATAGGCTCTGCATTCAAGAGTTGAAAGAGAAGATTTTCAAATCCTATTATATCCTTTGGACAGTTGAAGAAACATGATTTTGATAGTACTCAGAAAAAAAGCTGAGACACTATGTGAATTCTATGATAATTATTCATCATAATTAATGAATAAACACTGCCAGGATATATAGTCCTTTAGGCTTATAAAACGTCTTAGTTGCTACCCTGTGAATTTAATTGGCTCCATGGTTATGTCTTCAGTAGGAGGTAGTGAAGCCATAAAACAGAGTCACTGAATCCAGAATTCACAATAGGTTTGACAGCTGATACAACTTTAGCATGCCATGTGAAGCTGGTGGATTGTCTCTCTTTCTTTCAGCTCAAAGACTGATAATGACTCGGAGCTTTGTTAAGACCAAACTGATACCATGTCATAACATCTATTATCACATCTATTATTTGTGCCCATCCAATGTGACTACCACAGCATTACAGTCTCAGGACAGCTGTACAAATAAAGAGGATGAAGGTAGTCATGCTTATGTGGAAATGACAAATTAGCTCAGTTAAAATGAACAGAATATTATGCCTGCTCTGCCATCTGATGCCAATAAATTCCTTTAGGATTCAATGCCTTGCTAATTGTCTAGGTCAGGAACTACCCATGCCAAGACTATGGTGTGTTATTTTAGCATATCCTGGGCTTGACCTTCAGTAAGAAACTGACTTTTGACAAAACAAGACTATATTTTTTTTAATTAAGCATGCTTCCTATGACTAAGACTGCAAATACTTCAGAATCATGCAGCAAAGCATTTAATACTGTCTAGAAAAGGCAATGGTCAAGGTTATTTGGAATTACTTTTTTTGGTTGCCAGAGACACCAAAGAACACCTGTTTTTTAGAGCGACCTGAGCACCTAATTGTCTGAAAGCACAATGTTTTGAATGAGTCTTAACTGAAAATTAAAAAAAAAAAAAAAAAAGGTTCATGCTATTAGAGTGTGACTTCTGTCTTGCTTCTCATTATCAAGAAAGTCAAAAGAAGTCTAGTTACTGCCTTAAATTAGGACAGTACCCCATGTGAGAGGCTATGTGGATGTACCAATGACATGTGAAATGCATTTACCTACTGTTCACATGAACAAAAATGAAAATGCCCAGCAACTTCACAGAATCAGACTGTAGGCAAATAACATAGTGCCCTTTTTCATTCTGCAGTAGACTCTGGCTTGTAACCAGTCTCTCTCATTTTACCAGGAGCAGGACAGAGAAAGGGAGGAAAGTAGAGCAGTTCTGGGGGCAAAAGAGGAGTGCACACAAAAGCACTTGCAGGCAGATGTTTTCTTTTGTAATTTGCTTAGTGAGGTGGAAGCATCTGCTGCTACTCTAAACTCCACCCATGTCCTCTCCCCTTTTGGAAGAGCAGGTCTACTACACAGCAAAGACCCAGCTTCCAGGGCTTGTAGGGGTGTCCATTCTGGGAAGTTTCCATTCCTCCACTCTAACTGTGTAGGACAGGGACCAAAACCATTTTCACTGTAAGTGAAGGCTCCAAAATAAACCTTCTAAATATTAACTTTATCAAGATGAGATAAATCTGAGAAAGCATGGAACTTGGTGTTAAACCCACTCTCTTGTCCTTAATAGAGCAAATTTTTCTGTGACTGTGGGTAAAACAGTGAGTGAGGATCAGACTAGTATACAGCATGTACTTTATTCTCAGTTTGTTCAGAAACAGAAGATTGCATAATGACTTTTCAGAATTAGGTAACTTCATTTTTATAGTCAAATTTTGAGCTGATTAAATGCAATAATAACTCTTCGTGCTTGACTTTTCTCAGCATCTGAATCATGCTGCAAACTAGTGGAAAATTCCATGCTCTTTTAGCATATTTTTCAGTAATCCAATGTGCTACAGGAATATAGTACCTGATGATGCAGTTTAGTATCTACAGTGATACTTCACTGAAGCACAACAAATCACAGTGAAGTGCTGAAAACATTTTTCATGTCTTAAGTTGGTTTGCATTTTGACTCTGTGGAACCATGAAAAGAAAAAGTATTCAGTAAGCCAGTGGGTGTCACTATTGTGTTAAACAAACACTGAACAAGCGGTAATTTGGCACTGAAACTCTAAGAAACACTATGAGTGGTTGAAAGCAGAGTGCTGCAAATAGAGCATTTTAGACCACAAATAATTAACATCATATTAGCTAATAAAATAAAATTAACTTTTTCTCTGGTTCATTTTATTAAAATGAGTGGCTGATTGGCAATTTTTGGTTCATTCAAATCTATGAAAAAGAATGACTTTGTAGAGTTTTGTCTTGCCTGATGTGGAAAAGCTTGCCAATCTGCAACAACTGAGAAAAACACTGATTTTAGTATGGTGGGACAGGGGAACTGAAAGTATTAAGGAAAGAAAGATGCTCAAGATCAAAAGGAGGGATAACTGAACAAGACCAAAGCTTTTGAAAAATTTAGAAACATGTCTAACGTGAAAAATTCTAATTTACATATGGTATAGCTGGACATAGTGTATGAGGAACAGGCTCAGAAAGACCTTACAGTGAGGAGACTGGAGTGATCCTGTTCCTATTCTACATTCTGGTAAGCAGGCTCCATTCCCTACCAGTTCAAATCCTAACTTCTGGAGCCAGAGAAGTGC